AAAAAACATAAATAAATAGATTAATAATCAGTATTTTCTGTTCATTTCATTATTGTTATAGCTCAGTTTACCCTTTGGACCAGGAGAGAAAACAATATATATATATATATAAAGCTCACAAGATATCTGATGCTGGAAATTGTTGTTTACAATTGCTTATAGATTGATATAATAAAGACATACATAAACAGACATAAAAAATAGTACCAGTAACTAATTTTCAACATATCTAATAATCTCCTCATTCTCTGCTGTATTGTTTTTTAAAAATATTGTAAAATCTTAGACAGATTCATACAATAAAGCATAGTATGATGTTTCAACCTAACAATTATTAACAGAACATGACAGTTGAATAAAGTAATTAAAACAAAAATAGCATGATGACTAATTTTGTTATGACTGCTTTAACAACATGTCCACTATTGTATACGTATCAAATGTTTTCCCAGGCCAGTTACAGTATTCACACTGTCAATCTTCATCCAATTACTACACTATCTTGTTTTGAAAAGACTGACAAATGAGATATAACATCTGTATCTGGTCTGCAGGCCAATCTTTTAAAAAAAAATCAAGAATAATATTTCATGCTCTTAGCATTGCATTGTACAAAATCTAATAACATTAACTACAGTTTCATTCAAGCTGTTAACCCAATACCTTAGCATTACCTATAATTAATATTCAAATGAAGTTAGTTGTGGTGAAATATTAAAGGGATACTTCGCAAAAAAATGAAAAATTGATATTATGTTGATTATGTATAAAAAACCACAAATTCATAAATATTAAAGTTTAATTCTGCTAGATAAGAGATCACCATCGATTTTAAATTTAGAGTATCACTTCTCCGCGTGTGGCCATTTTGACATCATCCCTGAATAGAAACCACGATATATCTATAAACCACAAAGGACCAAAACAAGCAGTAACCTACCGTAGACGTAATTGAGTGTCGATATCTTGTCAAGCGTACGGTTGTTTTACCCGACAAGGAAAGCCTAAACAGTTTCCCGGGACACAAAAAAAGATTATAATAGACATGGTTGTGCATGCAACCTTTCCTAACTAACTTGATACGGAAAATGTAATCATATATATTTTTTTTTGAATAACTATTACTATGGTCTGTCGTTTTAAAACTGTTTTTTTACTAAGTTTTTGAAACAAGAAATTTTAATGGAAATAATTTTAAAAGTTCAAAGTGATAAATTAAGTGGTCTGTGTAAAAATGTTTTCGAAAATCTAGTGTGTTCATAAATTGTATTATATTTCTCTGATTTATGTAATAATCTTATTTAAATAAATTCGGACCTTCCCTTATCTGATCACCAGCATGGCTAAAGGAATTGTTCCCAGAGGTATTGTGAGTTGACACGTCCAGGTATTCAAGCGATTTCCTGTCGGGCTTTAAAACTCTTATTACACAATGACAATTACATAAAGCAAATTCGTGCATCACTTCACCTGTGAGGGTATTGAGAAGTGTACACGGCCGATAACTTGTAACTTTCCATTTTGAAACTATCAGGTGAATATACATCTTTGTCTTGCGTGTCCGATAGTGATATGCTAGTCTTTACTAAACCATAGATATAATAGCCATTATATATATGACTAAACTCATACGCTTGTTTATAAATAACATTTATGGTGTAAAGAATATTTACGAAAATCTAAATAATTCCAAAAAAAGATTTGATAAAATAAAAATATATTTACATATTTTCCAAACGTAAATTGGGGAAAATGTAAGTAATTACTCGTTGTCAATAATTATGGACATTTTGAAACGTACAAATATTGATTTAACAAAATGTACGCACTTGTCGATCATTGGATTATACGCCTAGATAGAAGGTTACGGAACTATAGATAGTCGCAATTTAGAATATATACATGTATATTGAATATACGAGAGAAACATCCAAAACCAATCTGATTTAAATACAGGTCGATATCTAACTTGCTTTGGTTCATCGAAGTTATGCACATAGTAAAATCACAGATTTTTATTTCAATTAGATTATTTTGAACAGTTTAAGAAAGTCGTCATCATCTCAATGGTTGTGTATTATGTATAATTATGTAATAATGTGTACATGGTTCTATTATACCGGTAGTACCTCATGTCAATTTTCCTGTTCCGACTTGCATGTAATATATATGCCACTGGACGTACACTAATGATCCCCAAAAAGCTTATTTGAAGAAATAAAGAAACTTCACTCCGAATAGACTGATAGTAGATGTATTAACGTCTTGTCAGCTAGAGGGTTGATTAATTTATTTAGTTAGCTTAAAAGGGAGGGGGGATAAACCATTCCTAATATTGCACTCATGCATAAAATATTAAATGAGAGTAATATAAGAGAAAATATAAATACGAAAAGTCGCATATCTGGTAAAAAAAAGTCTCACTGGCAACTATAGAATTTCACGTACAATTGTCATTCTTAATCGAAATAACGGACAGTCATTAAAATACATGCATGTACACTTTGATAAAAAGGGGTGCTGCAGTTGCATATTATTCATCATAAATCTATTTCAAGTATATACTTTCCTGTCATTCTTATAAGTTAACACAGAGACATGTAACTATACATCTCTGGTTAACGACAATCAACCATATAAATATTTGAATCTGATGTGACTTACCGTTCATCTCTTTCTTTTTTCTTCTTTTTTTTTTGATTGGGCAGTTACACAAACATTGTAATGTTAGACATACTGTTCCCATGTTGGGAGGGGGCGGTGGTTGGAGGTGAAGTTACAAAATATTTAATAAGAACGTTGTATTTATGAATTTACATGAAGAATTCTGATCTTGGGCGTAGGTTTCTTTTTTTTTTTAAGTTCAGTGATTTAAACTGAGAGAAAAAAATCTAGACAGAATGTAAATCATACCGGCAATTTCCACCTAAGACTACTCTAAAATCATGAATGGTCATGCTTCACAATCATCGGAATTTTCTTTGCATTGGTACATTCTGTATCGGTAGTGATTGACCTTGACATTTCCGGGTATAACAGAGCTACTTGTATATTAGGTGACGTCCCATGAGGTCTTACGTATACAGGTTCACATTTATAATGGTTTCTGATATAACAAGGTTTTATGACATTCACACTTCTGCATGTTCTGTATACCAAATTCTTATCTTATTTTCAGACCAAACGAGGATGTGAATATTTTCCAGGAAAAATATTGAGTATCAAAGTATCAAATTAATTTCGGGAATTTTTTCTTTCTTGGTATTAAATCACAGAAACTTAAAGAATATACTGCTTGTCCGCTTTAGGTGTATTCTTGTCAGTTTATATGTCTCTGGTATAGAGTGGGTTTATGAATGAATGATAAGTCTTGCAAAAAAGGTACAAGATATAAAGCACATTGAAAATTAATTCAGCTGGTCTGTCTCCATTCAAAAAAGGAAAGTTGACGTTATATTGATTCTGTTATTTTTTCTAAACATCGTTGATCAAATAGCTAAAGTATGTATACGTTGTGAGATTTTAAATATTTTAATAAGGGCATTCCCGATTAGGTAAATGTAGATCGCTGTGGACGGACCAAGCTATATTAATCATGTAACCTCGATAATTTTCTCTAAACATTGAAATATTCAAGGTTAATACCCATGATAATTTGAAAAAAGAAGTACAGTGTTTGGTTCATACGCTCGTTTTCGTGTGCCATTTTTATTTATAAAATTATTTAATTGAAAGTAATTCAGAATTTCGATGTTACAACAAAATACTCACCTATCTATTTTAAAATTAAGCTTACGCAAAATATAAAAGATATACATGTATATAACGGCGATTCAGGTATTTTTCCACCATATTCCTCCTCAAATAAATAATGTTTTTATCATTCATACGAAATGTTGTTCACACCTGTAACGGTGAAGCGTGTTGGCTAAAATTCACTGCGTGAAAATCAAAAGAATAGAATTACAGAATGCTAATCTTTTAATTGCCTGGAATTTAACCACGCATTCAACAGGTAGTCACTAAGTGTCACAATACAATACACATTGTATTTACACAGTACTAGTGGGAAATGTTTGCTAGACTGAAGTAAAAGCCTTCAGGTGAGAATACAAACATGCATTTGTAAAACAATATCAGTTATATATGTTTGTTCAAAATATCCGTCGAAAAAAAAAAATCATAAAAATATATTCTATTGTATGATTTACTTTTATTACTATAATCATATCAGAAATCCTTTAAATATAAATCGTACATTTTAATTTTGAAAGTTGCACAGCTGATCACTTTACTTTCTTAATTACTAGTTGGTTAATAGCTACGCCAAAAGTCGTCGATGCGCTTTAAATCGCGTTATTAGATGATTAACGAACAAGACTTACAATGAGATTTATTCACTCCTGGCATGCAAAAAGACTTAAACTACGTCACATAAGTCAGGAAGTTGGAATAAATTAAATTATTAATTCCTAATTTTCTTCTTTATTAGTGTTCATATCCAGATAAAACTTGGTAAATATGTTTTTTATGGTATTATGAACATAATAAGATGAAAAGTAAAAAATCGCGAATTTTCCCTTTAATAAACAGCTGCGCCATGAGCGCATGATACGCCCGTCGTCTTGTATGTGAATTTTTATGCAATAATGATTGATAGTTTCTGACATACGGCGCGACATGCGAAAACCCCCCTTTTTTCCACAAAAACTCAATATCTCTAAAATAAAATTTTGAATCAAAACCAAAAAGTATACAGATCTTTAGATTAATATAACTAAGAAGTGTGTAAATTTTAAGCAATAATCATAAATCGTTTTTGAGATACGGCATGACATGTGAAAACACCCCTTTTTTATAAAAAAAAAATCAATAGCTCTAAAATAAAATTTTGAATCAAAACCAAAAAGTATACAGATCTTTAGATTAATATAACTAAGAAGTGTGTAAAATTTTAAGCAATCACAAATCGTTTTTGAGATACAGCGCGACTTTGAAAAACCCCTCCCCCTTTTTTTACAAAATACTCAATAACTCAAAAATGAAATTTTGAATCATCACCAAAAAGTATACAGATCTTAAGATTAATATAACTAAGAACTGTGTAAAGTTTTAAGCAACAATCATAAATTGTTTTTGAGATATGGCGTGACATGTGAAAAAAAAACACACACCTGTTTTAGTTACTAAGTCCCGTAACTCAAAAAGTTTTAATCTTATTTTCACCAAAAAGTATACAGATCGTTTGACCATCATAAGAAACAACTATGTTAAGTTTCATGAAATTTGGATAAGTCATTCTCAAGTTACGGTGCGACATGTTTACGCCGGACAGACAGACGGACAGACGACATTTGTGTACCATAATACGTCCCGTCAAAATTTGGACGTGCTATTAAAAGCCACCTTTCAAACAGTTTTTAGTAAAATTATTCATGAGCCAAATCTTTACCTGGAAAGATATTTTACCCAAATTAACATCTTTGTATGAGACATCTTGAAGCAAAATAAATTGTAATAAGGATCTTAGTACTTGTGGAAACAAAATAAGTACCCCAAATAAGGCAATGACAAAGTCCATGCTATGGTAAGGGAAACCCTAAAAATAATTGGCATTATATAGTTACCTTTCTGAGAAAGTTCTATTAAATCATGATTCTGGTTTAATATGGTGTAGAGGTTACACTATGTACTTTGTGTAAAGATAGGAAGAAGTTATTAAGAAGAAGAAATGAATAGAAGATGCAAAAGTACATAAACATCATGTGAGTAAGTTTCTGTGAAAGTTAAAAAAAAAATCATGTTAAGCTGTTCAGGAGCAGTTGTGAATTCAAAAGATGCCTTTAGAATGGCCAGAAGGACAAATAAACGAACAGACAGAACAACTACACTATCACTATATACCGTCAACTTTAAAGCGGCGCAGTATTAAAAATCTTGTCACATATTTATAATCTGGTCTGCTTTCCAAGTTTTTTGCACAATTGATTTGCTTTGATAATTTGTTAAAGACTATATGTGCATGGATACACTTGAAATACATATAGGTGTTTTCTGACAGGCATTGGTATCATCCTAACTCGTAAAAAACTATGTGACTGATAAGAAGCGTCACTGGGCAGTTGGTCACAAAAGACTTTTTACAATGACATACCAATTAGAATATTTCTGTTTATTTTCTTCAGAGATCCCCAGGTTTTTAGAAAGTGATAATAAATAGGTGTAGTTCCTGTCAATAGAATACTTCTATGGTTTTGAGATCTTCTCATATAGTCATGCAGTGTGATTGTATATTTAATAAACATGTGCCTACTATCACATTTGATATTGTAAATCTGTCCATAAAAATAATAAATTTCACCTCATATGTTATCCTATAGCACTTTAAAAATATTGTCCATTATAGGTAAGTATATAACATGGCAGTCTATGGATGCAGATAAAGCATAACATCAATTGATTACTCCATATCATAGGTTTAACATTTAAAATAACTTCAGACTTTCTTTTGTTCAATTATATATTTTAATTTTACAAAGATAGTATATAATTATCAGATACAAACTACTACAACATTGTATTACACCAATCATGGAAGTTATCCTCTAACAAAGTTTGGTATAGCATTTTTACTAATTTTACCAGGAGTCAATATATAGTCAGTTACTGGCTGCAGGTTATACACTGTAAGACTATCCAAGGCCCACTCTCTCGAAATAGACAGTAAGCCATGGTGAACATAAAACTCTGAAATAAATAATTAAAAACATTAACTTAATTAAGAAAAAGAAACTTAAAATCCAAAGAATACCAAAGAGTCATGTATTTTTTTAAACACTGACAAAGTTAATAAAAGAACAGAGTTCCAATGTCCCCTGCGTTGCACATATTTTAATTTTCCAAGGGGCATAACTCTTTTAAAAAAAGGTGGATCGTCCACCATTATAGAACTTGTTAGAGATATTGCTGATATTAACCTACAGTATAAGTTTTATAAAAATCTGGCAATAATTGTAATCAAATCACAAAACCCATACAAGAATCTTGCCATTTGCTGCTCATACATAAGTAATCTGAACATTTAACTTTTTGTTCAACTCATCTATCTTCTTTCATTGTTTCAAACTTTGTTTAAGACTGTCCTTTAGTGTCATAATATTTAAGATTCTACTATACTATACATACCTTTAAAAAGTTTGAGTTCATCTGGAGAAGGACTATCTTCATCGTCAGAATCATTATCATAATCTGAACATGTGATCACAACAGAGTGTTGCTGATCTGTTATATCTTCTATGTTACACTTAACCTGGCCTCCACATGATATTAATAAACTCTTCAAATCATCTGCAAATGCAGTTTCATATTTCAGAACAAGATGACATGAATATGTTTACTTAATCTCAATAAAAAGTTTTGCTTGGCAGATTTTAAACATATGTAATCTAAGATTACAAATTCACTAACAAAATGTTTAAATGCCTAAATGTCAGAAAATATATGGGTCAAAGGACAAATTTTTAACTGGCTGAAACTCTACACTAGTTTAGGTGATCTTCTTACTTAAAGGTACCTAGACATAAATTGGATGTAAGGCCAATGAAGAATGAATTCAGTCATAGTGACCTATTTTTTGCCATGATGCTGACCTACTCCCCAATATTCATCATTAAACAAGTTAAGATAATCCAATTACTAATATCTATCACAACATAATTTGGACATAAAACCGAGTCAATGAAGCAGGAAATTTATGTATGTCAAAGTGGCCTAGTTTTGCCCATTTGTTGGGCTACTCCCCAAAAAGTATTTTTACGTGAGTTTAGATGATCCTACTACTTTAAGTTAATTAGATATAAATTCATACATAACCATTAACCAACATTAACTTAGACATAAATCTTACCCAAATAATAAGGCACAACAACCAAAATATAACTCCTTCAACCAGGAAGCATCATCAAGCTTTTTCGTTTAGCACTTGATTCTTATAGCTAGACTTCATAATTTCAGATAAATAATATACTTATAAGCCAATCTGATCATCAGAAAGTAATTCCTCTGAAAATTTTCAATGAAAAAAATTTCCTATTGGTGGCTAAATGATAAATGTATATTTTTCAGTAAAAGACACAACACTTTCTAATTAAGTGGGAAACTTAGTGTTTTATCCTTGATTTGGATTCAACATATTGATGATGTTTATAGCAGGGCTTCCAAAATTTCCTGACGACAGCCGGACATTTTTCAAAGAAATATTTTGACGGTCAATGATCAGCTGGATACTTAAATGTAACTGAGAGGATGCATAAATTGATATATGTGTCTAAATAATTAGTAGTGTTATATGCAATAAAATTATTTATAACTGTTTTGTTTTCTTCATTCTAAAAATAAATAAAATATTATCCTCGGTATTGTGTCATTTTTCTGTGTATCGTAATACAGTAATCATCATTGCATCAATCAGCTTCAGTACCTGACTGTTCTAATGTTTTTGTTTCTGTTTATATAATCTATCTTCTCTCTGTGAGTACTTAACACTTTGAAAATTAAGGGTATCATATTTGAAACTGTTGATGTTGGCTTTAATTGCAGTACAACCTGATCATCAATACACGTGATACTTTTCTTTTTGTGTATTGATTACCTGACCACGTGACTTTTACAACTGATGCGGTATTTATAGATAACATTGAGGAGGCCCAATGAAGGATATTGTTTTAAACCATGTAATATCTACTGAACAGTAATAACCCAATTTCCCAACCTGATTTAGAAAATAAGAAGAATAAATAAAAACATACTCAGTTGATAAATAATTTAAACTAATTTTCAGTTCACCAGCTTTGAGGTATGATAAGTACAAAATTAAATGTTTTTGCGTAGCCAGATCAGTTGACTCGTCGATCATAATTGCCACGGCGGGACTTAACTTTACGTCGGACATCACCTCTTTCTCTATAATATCGGAAATTGTCTGAATAAATTCGGAGTAGGCATTGTTCTCTTGATGTAATTTAGAAGTAATCACGGCACCATTTAACTTAGTTAAATCATTTATTGACTGAAATTTGTCCATTGGTAAGTTTTCTTTAGCAATAAAGTAAGCATTACGGAACAAGGTGCACACATTGCGTTGTCAGTCTTTTCATGAACTTTCTCAAATACTGATACAATTGGATTACTTTTGGAAGCTGTCTCTAATTTAAGAGCTTGAACGTGGTCATTGCTATTAGCATGCTCTACAACGGCTGACTTTCGAAAAGTTATTTTTAAGTTCATGTTTTTGACAAATGTCACAAAACATGGCATTTAGCATACTGTCAAATCTTAACCATAAAAACAGTTGTAACCATTTATGAATAAAGCTTCTAGCATTTTTAGCAGATTTCGAATTTTGATCGGAATCGTCACATTTACGTTTGCCCATGATGGCGGATTTGTAAAGTTCAATTTGAGACAAAGTCTTTATAACAGTCGGAGATTGTCATGATTGGATATTCTTCTTTATGATTTCAATTATAAAAACAGTTTTTAATATGAAAACAAGAATAGAGAACGCCCCCCCTTATTTATTGGACAACTCAGCTATTCTAGGTGTTTTTCCTATATATTTCAATAAATTTTCCCCTTTAGAGTACCCCAGTATTTAACACGATGTACAGTGTTAAATAAAATAATATATATCATACTTATTCATTTATAAATATCCTTATTTGAAGAATAACTTTTTAATATCAGGATACTTTTTTAAACTGAATGCTCATTTAAAATAATATCTATAAAGCGTAATTAAATAGGATGTTGTTCCATACACGCTTACATGTTTGACCTCGTTAACCTGATCACCTTTATGTACAGTGTTATGCATCATTAATTCTATTGATAAAGACAAGCTATGGACACCTCATCAAAGGTTACAAACCTGTAATCAGTGAATGATTTATGGCTTCAATATAACTTATTGAAGGGATAATTGTTTGACAGCTTGTTGTTATTTAAATAAAAGAAAACGTGTTTTTTCTACTTTTTATTGATGTACACAAGCTAAAGACCAAGCGGTACATTTATGTACCCAGAGGATTAGACTAACTTAGACACTTCAAAGTATCTGAAATATGCTGCATCTGTTTTATTAAACCCAATTATGACCGAAATATCTTTGTGAAATAGATTGCCACAATTATAAACTAAAATGCTCAAACAGACATGCCCAAAGCCCCAAACGGACATTTTTATCGATCGATAGTTGGTAAAAATTGAAATGACCGTTTTATGAAAATGCCTTGAATAACAAAAAGTGGCAAACCAATTCTATTTGACCGTTTGAGGCTGAGAGCAGCCGGACTTTTTATGAAAGTTTCGGTCAAGTCCGGAATATATGACCGTTTTGGAAGCCCTGGTTTATAGGTCATTAGTGAAGAATGGAAAAAAAATTTTGAAAGTTTATCCCTTTGCATGATTTAGATCAATAAAACCATAACAGTTTCTTGATATTTTTAATGTATTTTGCCACTGGGTCTAGTGTTTAACTATATCCATAGACTTATTGTACAAATCCCTTCTACAGCCTTTCATAACATGACAATTTATAACAATTACCTTTTTGTAAACCTTTACTATCTCCTACAACCAAGAACTGCATGTTATCAAACAATGGACCAGATGTACTCTGTCTTGATTTCATTGGGCCAAAGTGAAAGTCATCTGTCACAGTATCCCCTTTGATTTCATAATCAGCCTGAAAGGTTATATTCAAAATCAAAAGTGGTTTATTATGCAAAGGAGCTTTGTAAATCCAACTTTGGATGGAGATCTGTTTCATGATTAAAAAGATCATGTTTTAAATGTTATATAGCATCCTGGTAAACATGGAATTTGAAATGCCATCTTGTTTCTAGAAATTATAGCACAAAATCCTTAACACAATCTATAAGAAAATCATTCAAATAACATTACATCAAGCAATATAGCATCACATTACCATGATACTAAATGACTTGGGGAGAACATTGTGTTCTGAAACCAAGATGTTTGCACATTGACAGAAAACAAGTTAACATATAATAAGCAAAAATAGTCATCAATTTTATATGAAATTCTTTTAATATAAATCATTAAATAAAATCACAGGTCAACAAAATTTAGTTTTTTACTGTACAGTACCAAATTTAGAAACTAATTTTCCATTGACCTTATTCAATTCTGCTCCAAATATCAGATATTTCTATAATTATAATAGTATGAAGACTGTTAGTGTATGGAAAAGAAAACCATTAAAATATGAGAATATTTCATAGCACTTTATGATGATAGCAAGTACAGATAATGTATACAACAATAGACAAAAGTGCTTAAAATAACAGAACATCAAAGTATAGAAAAATGTTGACACAGAAAAAAAGGGTCTTCTGTGTGTAATTTTGATAGTATAATGGAAATGTTGAAATTTATTGGCACAACTGAATCTAAGATCTAAAACTGACTAATCATAAACTTTAACAATTGTTGACACTACTGTTGTTGCAGACCCCAGAAACAAAACACCTTAGTTCTTGTTATTTTGCATGCAAGTGTATATTATACTGTGTGCACTTGTATTTGGATGTTATTCATTATTGGGTTATAAGTATCAACATGTTTAAGAAGCTACTAAGCTTTTCTCATTGATATATATTACATCCTTCATGTTGTTATAAACTGATACCAATTTACATATGAATAACATTTACTAAACATACCTCTGGCAATAGATTACCAGCAGCTCTTGAATGAACAACCCATTCATAATCTAAAATCCAACAACCTTGAGATATCCCCTTAAAAAACTTTAATGTTCTGTCACATACACGACTGCCAATGGGTTCTGTAAAAGATGTAATGAAAAACAATAATCTAACATTACTCTTCTCCATAAGTATATTGTACATTAGTTAATATTCTAATATTCATTCTTTTGGACATTTTCATTCAAGTTTGATACATTTTACAATATGCATCTTAAACAATTTGTATTGATGTAAAATATTGAAATCAAATCTTGTAAAAAAATTAATCAAAAGTTGCTATGGACAAAGCTTGGTTGCTTGGGAGCAATTAGAATGATTTTTGCCCCAAAAAATGAGGATTAATTTATGTGTTAGTTAGAGTGGCAGATTTGTGGTCAACTGCCATAATTCATAAACTAGAGGAATGTTTTCCTAGCAAATTAATTCTTATTGCTCAAGGAATATAATATTTAACATTTTTGGCTACAGAAGATTTCTATTTTCATTAATCCCTTAAAATTTCAAAACATTTTGCTTTGTTGTTTCAGATTAGATTTTTAAAAATTGGACAATTAGAATCAATGTATAAGCATATCTTAACTATCTACAGAACTTGCAGTACAATGAGAAATTACTACATGTACCGGTAATTACCAAAAAGGAGTGATGAATACAGAATCTTTACTACTAAGGCCAGATTGAGGAATTGCCTCTGACAGCTATATTTTTATCTGATCAGAAGAAACTAAGGAAGTTTTACAGGACCTTCATTGTCTTATTCCTGCAAATTTAATTTCAAATTGGCCTTGAAGTTTGGAGATTTGATGAAAGTGTAAAAATTTAAAAGATAACAGATGACAAGCAATGGATGATGAAGCCAAACAGTGGCAACAGCATAAACTGACCCTTTGACCTTAATAAGTATCTGAAATGCATAAGAATTACTTACCAGTCTTAACTATGACATGTGTAACATCTTTACTAAACTTTGTACAAAACTGACACTGATTTAAAACTGCTAGCTTTTGTAGTTCTTTCTGAAATACAATGTTCAATTCTATTTAATGGGCATCTGTGTGATTGCATGGGGAAAATAATTGTAATTGTAAGACGGCTTACACCATATAATTTTTGGCTGATTGTCTACTAAACAGACACAAAAATGGTCTCCTTTTTCTAAGAGGGCAGATCCTCATTTCCTACTTGCAGCTAAAATGCAGATGTTTATACATTATCATACTAAATGTCAAATGGCTATTAATACATTATCATACTAAATATCAAATGGCTATTAATACATTTAACGATAAAACTAAACATTTCAACAAAATAAAAACTCAGCGACAAATTTCCAAAACAAATTAAAACCAAATGAAGACACAATAAATAAACTCTTTAGGCCCATAGAATCCTAAAACGGAAGAGCATGACTTATGGGGGACCCAAGGGTCCGGAAGCGGTCATATTTGCCAGTCATGACCAAAACTGAAAGCTGTTTGTCCTAAACAGCAGATTTGGATTTAGGACAAATTTTATTTTTTTACAGAAATATATTCGGGCATTTCATTGAGATTGGGTTTCTTAATCGCCATTTTGGACTTGTTTTTGTTTTGTAATCCCTTTCCTGTAATAAAACTGCCACTCCAGTATAGTATGATAATCCTGAGGGCCCTCCTAATAGCTATATTATTGCCTCAGGGAAATATTGGCTAGTGATTGCTTATCACTTTTACCTGTGTTTTTAATTCACACCTGACAGTGATCACAAGCTCAGAACAAATATTATAAAGAAATTAAAATTCCATGACAACTCTCTTCATTATTTAATTACTTTTCAGCAAAGACAATCGTCAATTCTGATTTAAAAATTAAAACTTCATTTAATTTACATAGAAAAAAGTAATTTTTCACGAGTTAAACATGTGCTTTGTTTACCATGTAATATGCATGTGTGAAATTGTCTTCACCAGATAAGACACTTAATCGTAAAATACAAAATGATTTCATGCATAAATAAACGAGTGCAACTATTATCTGTTATATTCAAACACTTTTAAAGGTAATACAATTAACAAGAGTGCACACGCTGAAATGTCTCGCCTTCTTTACTGACCACTGATTTTATGTTGATAGTCCTAAATATAAAGCTTTACTAAAAGTATCACATAAACTTAACATGATCCAAGAAAACGAGGTCAAGGTCAGATAAACCAAACGAGAAATACATGTACACCTTTACAATCATTCAATACACCAAATATAGTTGACCTATTGCTTATAGTTTCTAAGAAACAGACTTAAACAGGAAAACTAAACATTGACCAATGAACCATGAAATTAAGGTCAAGGTGAGATGAACCATGCCAGACAGACATGTACACCTTACAATCAATCTATGCATTAAATATAGTTGACCTATTGCTAATAGTATCTAAGAAACAAACTTAACCATGAAAACTTAACATTGACCAATGAACCATGAAAATGAGGTCAAGGTCAGATGATATCTGCCAGACAATGCCATACAACAAATATGTTGACCTATTGGTTAGTTGAAGAAAAACAGACCAAAACACAAAAACTAAACACAGAGCAATGAACCGTGAAAATGAGGTCAAGGTCAAATAAAACCTGCCAGACTGACATGTACATTGTAAAAAATTTCCATACATCAAATATAGTTGACCTATTGCATATAGTATTAGAAAAAAAGACCAAAACACAAAAACTTAACTTTAACCATTGAACCATGAAAATGAGGTCACGGTCAGATGACACCTGCCAGTTGGACATGTACACCTTACAATCATTCCATACACCAAATATAGAAGACCTATTGCTTATAGTATATCTGATATATTGACTCGACCACCAAAACTCAACCTTGTTCACTGATCCATGAAATGAGGTCGAGATCAGATAAAAACTGTCTGACGGGCATGAGGACTTTGCAAGCTACGCACATATCAAATATAGTTATCCTATTACTCATAATAAGAGAGAAATTAACATTACAAAAAATCTTAACTCTTTTTTCAAGTAGTCACTGAACCATGAAAATGAGGTCAAGGACAATGGACATATGACAGACGGAAACATCATAACATAAGGCATCTATATACAAAGTATGAAGCATCCAGGTCTTCCACCTTGGGAAATATAAAGCTTTTAAGAAGTTAGCTTATGCAGCTGCTGCTGGATCAGACTTGCAGATTCGGAAAAAAAACCTGGTGATTTCCTGTCAATTTCATATACAGAACGAATCCTGGAATTACTCGTACTTTAGTATGGTCACAAAACTTCCTGTTTTAATTTCGTCTTTTAATGTCGGCAGATCATAACAAATTCCCTACCTACAAACACTCATTTTATTATCACATGAAAGTTGACACAAATATTTTTTTGGTTCCTTTATATATAGTAGTTCTACTTACCATCTGAGGTAAAACTAATCCAGTTGAAACAAAGCATCTCTTCAGCCTTTTTGTTTCAACAGTATTTGTAACCAATGGAGACAAAATCTTCTGCCTTTTTCTCTCCATAGCAGGTGATAGTTGAGGAGATCTCTGATCTAAGGGAGAATATAACAGTTTAGATGGCTTTGATGTAATATTATCTGTTGAAATTTGTGCTAACTGATTTTTCCATGGTGATGACTTAATTTGAGAAGGTATATTCTCATTATTCACTTGGTCTATTACAGATAAATGCTTCTGGTCAATATCTGATCTGGTACTTCGTCTTGGTGATGTTAGCTCTTTGTCTTCTATACCTTCTATTTCTACCTTAGATCTTTTCTTTTTTTCATGGCTTGATTCTACAGGTAAGAGTTCAAGGCCATGTTTCCGAAATTCTGTTGTAAAGTCAGTTTCCTCTATAATTTCAATTTGTTGGGGTGACAAAGGAGGGGGAGATGGTGGGTGGGGACTAAGGAATAGTTCCTCATCTGATTGGTATTCCTGAATTACATCACTGTTCCGAGAATCTGGTCGTTCATTTGGCTCACCAATATCACTGAAATTCAACTTATTTGTTTTCTCTGAAACAAAACAAATAACTTGAGAATGAAACTAGAGTCCTTAGCTGATTACATTTCTAGGCCTACAAATAATAAAACTTGTTGGATCAAAACAGAACTACAAAAAGTAATATTTTATATTTGTTGCACAGCTTACTCAAGAGCAGTTATCTGTGAATTTTCAAAGAAGATTTTTTACAAACTGAAATTCAAATTTGAAGTAAAAGCTGAAACTTGGTTTGAGATTATAGAAATCTACACAAACTATAACCCAATTTATACAAACCTGTGCTTGCATCTTCTCTCTCTATTCTTGTGCTGAAATATAAGGTGAATTTGTTAAAATTGTTTGAATAATGTATATCAAGTGAATTTTGCTTTTCCACTGAAGCAACCATTGATGTGAGCACGAAGTGGCAAATATATAAACTTCTTGTTTTTGTTGTCTATTTTGTTATCATTCAAATATTGGTAAATTTTTCTTATCTTTTACATGATGAACATTCTATAGAAAAATACATCGTACAATGCATCAACACAATAATATTAATTAATAGGCTGTATGTTTCTGAGGACTCGCAATGAAAACCCTTTTGTCATATAATTGCAAAGTAGTTTCTATACATATCAAATTTTATTTGACGTGATTGTATCTGTGTGAATTGAATACTGCAAGACAATTTAAGTCTTACCTGTTAGTAGCATTATCAGCAGCCAGCTGGGTTTCTATTTCTTGCATTTCTCTCCGCATTCTTTCTAAATCACTCTCCAATTTGTTTCTTTGCTATAAAAATAATACAATTAAAAATATATAAATTCAGCCAAGATTTTGAAACCTTTGTCATTTATACAGCAACAATATATGACAGAAAAAACTTAAAGTTACCTGTACATCTGTTTAAATTATCTTTCAGTACAATATATACAACTGGTAAGTCATTGGTAAATATAATCTTTTATTGTTTTCAATTTTATAAGCAAAACAGAAAGTACTCAAAATCATCATTTAAATGCATTAACTACTAGACAAAGTTAACTTATGATTTCAGTCATATTAGCATGTATTGATAATCATTTTTGCTTTGTACAGTTTCTGTCTTATTTATTATGCCTTTCAATTAATAAGAAAAATTGTAAAAATGAAGGAGTACATTTTGGGACTTATTTTTTATGGCTGTTTAACAAATCAAAGGTTAAGGGGGTATATTTTCAAACAACAGCAACATTTAAATCAGCAACGATCTATCTAGTAAAGTTGTAGACTTAATCAAGAGACGCAAATGCATGCAAAATTTGATGAATCCAGTGTGCTTTTATAAAACTTAGAATTATCTTTATTTAAATTCCTTAAAATATGGCTGATCCCAAGGAAAAGAAGGATACTCATTCGGGCTACTATTTTTTTCTAAGATCCTTTCAATATTGTTTTGTGAAATGATTTAAATTGAAAAGTTTTCAGAGAGTAAAGAATTTCATTCTAATCATTAAAAGTAAAGGTATAAAAGTATAGATATCTTACTTCAAAACTGTAGGATGAAGAAAATATTAGAAGCTTTTTCTATAGTAAATGTATATGCTCTGTCAATTTGTGGCATTCTGTGTCAATCAATAAACTGGAATTTGATATCAAGTACTATTAACTATTATTTGATATGCTTTCCTGAACATCTATTTGAATGTTAGCAATGAAAGGGGATATCTACTGACTTCAACAAATTTGCCAAAGTAAGAATACCTACAGTCTCCCATAAAATATCACCCAGAACAAACAGACACAAAGAATTGAGTACATCTCCATGTATATAAAAGAACAAAGTTCCAATGTCCACCACTTTGCACATATTTTATCTATCCTCGGTACAAGGGCAATAACTAAAAGAAAACACTTTTTATAAATATCTTAGAGAAATGTAAGCTTCCGAGCAAATGCAATGCGATTTCCGTTATAATTAATATTTCCAAGGGGTATAACACATTAAAAATATTTGATCAGAACTTATTTTCGAAAGTGTCAAAGACATTGCTGATATAAACCTAGGATATAAGTTTCATAAAATTCTAGCAAGAATTGTACACACGAGAGTGCTATAAAGGTAACTTTCCATATTATTATTTCCAGGGGGCATAACTCTTTTAAAAATAATTGATCGGCACTGATTATCGAACTCGTCCAAGACATTCCATATATAAACCTATGATTTTAGTTTTATAAAAATCTGGCAAGAATTGTATATGTGAGAGCGTAAACAAGACCAAACGAATGGACAGATGGAGGGAGAGACGCCTGGTATTTCTATGTCAATAAATACAATAAAAACATTCTACATATTCTGCCGATATTTACCCAAAATAACTTACTGTAAATAAATCAAATATAAACAGCAGTAACTGTACTTTCCTAGCTTTAGATATTTCAGTTTTACAAGGGAAACTCTACACAAAATTTAACAACACGAGGGAAGACTTTTTGTTCCATATTGTTAATTTTCCTTTTTTGGATGGTGATGTTCCTTTGGTCCCATCTTACAGTGTTTATAAATCCAACTCGTTCACTATGCCTGTGTCTGTAGTGACATTTTGGATTTCAATGAATGTAATCTATGTATAACTAGTAAATCATTTAGTCAAGTATTTCATTCCTTCAAATTACTTCAAACCTCTACTAAACTAAAAAGATACAAAGATTTGGTTTGGGAGTTTGGCTGTAAATTAAGATACAATCCAGGTAAACTTATTGATCCTTTAAATATATTTATTCTAAAAGTTTTATCAATCTAAAACTTTAATTAGATCTATGAATATTGTTTTTATCAGTATATACAATATAAAAACAAACTACCTAAATGTTATTGCTATACACATATGTACATTCACGGTCCTACAATCTGTTGACACCTATATATTGGCATTGCACAAGGTCATGTCTTTCTCTGACTGTTTATGATGTCTTTACACTAAATCCATTGGATGTTGAATGTGTACTGATTGATACTTTAGTTTTAGGTACATGATTTTTTTTATTATTTTTAACTATGAGTACTCTCAGATCTTTACTTTGTGTCTTCTGTGTTGATGTTAGTTGTGTATGTAATTTGTATCGATCTGATGTGTTAAGCCTTTTTCAACTAATTTTTATAGTTTGTTCTTATGTTGTACTGTTAAACTTATGTCCACATTTAGGGGGTTGGTTTGGTGCCAGCAATCATGTTTAACACTGTCACATTCTGTATGAGCTGTGCCAAGTCAGGAGCCTGTAATTCATTCGTTCTCGTTTGATGCTGTATATCATATTTGTTTTTCATTTATTGCTTTGTTTATAAATTGTTTACATTTGTCATTTCGGGCCCATTTATTTATAGCTGGCTATGCAGTATGGGTTTTGCTCATTGTTGAAGGCCATATGGTGACAAACAGTTGCTTACTTCTACGTCATTTGGTCTCTGATGGAGACTTGTCTCATTGGCAACCATACCACATCTTATTTTTATATAGAATAATTGTAGGCTAGAGGTTTACAACTGCAGCCTGATTTTGTTACACAAAATGGGTTCATTTCATCAAGAATATTGCCGAATACTAACCAAGTTTCACTAATTGGATAATATACAAAATTAACTAAATGGTTACCCACTCAGATGCACATTTTTAATGCATATAATTTTAGAAAATCAAAGGCTTTCAGTTAACAACTGATGAAGAATTGATCACACAAAATAGCTTCCTAATTTCACTGCCCTTCTTTTTTTACCTTGAAAGACTGGAATTGATGGCATATCTTTGATGTCAGAGACATGTATGAGTTATATACATGTATATGGCATATCTTTGATGTCAGACATGTATGAGTTATATATATGACATATTGTATGAGACATGAGAATGCAAATGAAAAGGAGCTGTTCATTTAACCTATTTTTGTATTGATAGGTGGACTCTGGTTTGAGAAGGTTGAAGAGGAGGTGATATTGACCTACCTTTGTAGCGATAGGTGGACTCCGACTTGAGAATGTCTACGAGATGTTATGCAGAAGACCTACCTGTGTATTGATAGGTTTACTTTTTGAGAATGCTGTAGAGGTGTTATTGACCTACCTGTGTAGTGATAGGTGGACTATGACTTAAGAATGCCGATGAGATGTTATGCAGAAAACCTACCTGTGAATTGATAGGTTCACTTTGACTTGAGAATGCTGAAGAGGAGGTGTTATTGAGATGACGACTTGTGACACTATCTTCTGAAGCTGTAAATATAAATTTTTTATTGTTTTATATGTGGTAAATTAGAATTTTAATGGACTCACAAATAACTTGTCAGTTCACAGTAAAATAAACCAAATACAAAATATTATTACACTTCATTGCATTTGTCTTATCAAATCTGTCAACAGGACTTGAATGGAAAGATGAATAAAGTGACAAAAGTATATAATTACAATGCTGTATGTTATACATGTATTTCATTTGTGAATGTCATTGCAACAAAAAAGATTAACAAATGTATTAACTTGATTCATGATGTCACAAGTATGAATTCCTACACAGCCAACCATTTGCTGTAGGTGTTGATGAAATTTTTTATCTGAACATAAATTTTGGTGCTTTTTATTTGAATTCTAAGTAATAAAGGTTATTTTTACAGTTTGGTGATATGTAAACTTGGCATTTCTCTCCTGTGGTCTTTATTCAGTGTGTAAGTGAGAATGTCGAGTACACATCAATATAATCCATTCAAAATAACTATTATTACAATAATTAGAAATAACTTATACATAACCAACCATCAGTCATAATTATGTTGTCATTAATACTGTAAGAAGAATATTCTTTGGTTGAAAAAATGCCTTTATAATGTTCTTATAGAACTATCAACAATCAATTACAGGTATAATGTTCTTATAGAACTATCAACAATCAATTACAGGAAAAATGTTCTTATAGAACTATAAACAATCAATTACAGGCAAACATGTATTCTCTCATGGTTGTGGTATATAATATTTTTCCAACATGGAAAAAAAAATTCTTCTAATTTGGTGGGCATTTCCTGCAATGTGGTAGGAAATTGCAACATTTCCATTGGCTATTCTTTAGGTCAATGATGACTTTCAAAGGTCACAACAACCTACTTTTCCCCCTTGGCAACAGAGATTTGAAACTTCTTCAATAATATATACAATGTTTTTGTCAAATCTGATTCCATTTTAAAGCATACAAAAGCTTGAAAACCTTTGATGTAAACAGTAGTATGGGTTCATGACAAACATTCTCAATACCGTAAGCAGACTTATATTCAAAGTGAAGCTTGTGAAATTGAAAACATTTCACATGAAATTTATTTTTTATACAAAGATAGTTTTTACCATTAGAAAAATAGGTTTAACAACATATTAGAATTGGATATCTATCATTTATTATCATATTGAAATTAAATAACTTAAATTGATATCAAGCAATATCTAATTATTTTGACTGATTGGTACAGAAATAATAATAAAAGAACAGAGGTCCAATGTTCCCCGCGTTGTACATATTTTATCTATCCAGGGGCAATAACTAAAAAAAAAAAACACTTTTTTTTTGTTGTTCTTTAAAACAATTTTTAAATAAAAATCATGTGTGGGGGACCAAAAACCTTTTTTTTATTGTATACTAAATATTTCAAACAGACCTTTAAGGGCAATACTTATAGTATACTTTAAGTTTTATAGTACCTGTGAGAGCGCTAACAAGGCCATTTTCCATAAATTTAATATTTCTAAGGGTCATAACTCTTTTAAAAAAAGTCAATCGTCCACCACTGTAAAACTTGTCCAAGATATTGCTGATATTAACCTATAGTATAAGTTTTATAAAAATCTGGCAAGAATTGTACCCATGAGAGCACTAACAAGGCCATTTTCCATAAATTTAATATTTCCAAGGGGCATAACTCTTTTAAAAAAAGTCGATTAGCCACCATTATAAAACTTGTCCGTGATATTGCTGATATTAACCTATAGTATAAGTTTTATATAAATCTGGCAAGAATTGTACCTGTGAGAGCGCTAACAAAACCGGACAGACGCCCAGTATTTCCATGTCCCCCGCAATGCATGACGCGGGAGACAAAAATCTTTTCTTGTAATACACAGAATCTTACTAGTGATTTGGTTTAAATTGTTGTGCAAATCTAATGTCTCATGATTATATGAGTTTTGAGATTGCTATCTCATTGATGTATTCTCCATGAAATAGCACAATAGTGCTGAAAGTGGCATTAAAACACCAATCAATCAATCAATCAGTCAATCAATCAATGTATTCCCCACATCTCCTTTATTTTTAATAAAAAGACTAATATATATATTTCCAATCACCCACAACATAAAATTATAGCCCATGTTCAAAGTGAAATTGGTTGGTCAAACTGCACCAAAAATAAAACACTCTGCAAGAATAATACACTGAATCTTTGACATCCTATAGCCGTTCTCAAACAGGATGTTTCAGTCAATAAAAAAAAATTCTTTCTGGCCTTGGCATCCATGGTTAGGACAATCAATTGATAGAGCAAAAATTTGTTCAACATCTTTCAGAAAGATATCTATCACGACATTTGGTCTAAATTCAATGATACTACCTTTTGGGAAAAGTTCAAACGGCTGATGCCAAATGATGGCAGAAATATCACAAAGAAATTTTTAATTATGTGATCAAAAAATAAAGTTTCATATTAAACAACAAATCTAAACATGTGACAATACTTTTATTCAGAAGTATTAACCAGAGACTAAAGGACAAAGATGTACACAACTATTGGTCAACGTACGGCATTCAACAATGAGAAAAACCCATACTGTATAGTTAGCTATAAAAGGCCCTTGCATGACAAAATGTGAAGCAATTTAAAAGAGAAAACCAATAGCCTGATTTATGCTCCAAACAATAAGTGATAAATCAAATTAGGCAGACATCATCCAACGATGACCACCGAAGGATTGTTTTTTCCAATGTTATTTCCTGCTTCCTGTTATATCTTTGCATGAAATATGTATACTGTTTACATTAAATAAAAATACCATTAGATGAGTCACTATCATCCTCAACTATTCTTCTTCTTTTCTTCTTAACTCTAACAACTTTAACATCATCATCATCAGACATCTGATCTTCATCAGGAGGTTCAACTGTGTCAACTTCCAGGACATCATCTAGGTCCAGTCTGTCCTTCACTTCAATATCACTGAAAGGCTTTGATTGTTTAGATTCCCCATCAAAAACATGCACTGTACGATAAGATTTTATCAGCACTGCATCTTCAGAGTCACTTGAAAACTAGAAGCGAAGAGATGTTTGTTAATTAGTATGTTTATCAATAGATATTTGAACTGCAGCAATATGGAAATATATTTTAAAGGTCAACCAACTCTGGAAAAGGTTAACTTAATAAACTGTTAAATACACTTAAATACCGGTAATAATCAAAATTGATACTAACAATTCAAATGGTCTGCAATTTTATTTACTATGGTCTTCCATGTTTCGCCTGCTTTTTCACCTGCAAAGCAGGCGTCATCAGGACAATTTACATTCAGAAATTTGACAACCCGGAATACCAAGGTATCCACTTCATGGACTCTGCCGAAAGGATTCACACAGGCATTGGTTCACCAGACGGAGTTTAATTTATTAATTTATTCGTGAACCCTGAATCCGAAAGGAACCGCCTAGCTAAAAGCACCGATCTACAGGCCACCAACATATACATGGAACAAGGAATATTCCACACATGCGACAAATCACCAAATCACCAAAAAGAAACCAAGAGTACCAAGATTTCTGAAACCACCCTACATGCATCTATAAATCATAAAATGATAGCAGAAGCAACGTAGCACACACCACGCAGGTGCTGAACATAGATGAACTATAAATTTACAACCAAGCCAATAAACGGATTAACTACAGCAGACGATAATTTTTTTTTATATATATACCAAATAATTAACAAGGGAACGATTTCTGACAATTGTATTTTCCATTAGCGGTGATCAAAATCTTCCCATTGTTACCGACGCGCCAGGATACAGTTTAGTATATTATAAAAGCCTGAATCACATGAAAATTGTTTGTTTTGTTAATCTCATTCTTTGTATGAATTATGTTATTGGTATAATCAACTTCTGAAGGAAAACTGATAACAATATGTTGTGATTAACATTTTCCTGTCTTTATAATGGTAAAATATCTCTGAAAAATCCAGCATTGCAAAAAAATCAACCAATTCTTTTTTTTATGAAATTCATTATAATATTACTTATCAAACAAAAAACAAAAATAAAAATGTAGGGTCACCGTATACACAAGCAATAGAGGTATTTGTCTTTAAACAGGATCATAGCGAATTGAAAAATGCCAATTACCTCATATCCAAATACAAAAAATTGTTAACCTATCACCAATACTTACTGAGTATTATACTAAATCATTGGACCTTAGCAAGACCACTGGAGCATAAAATAATATCAAGGCAATATAACATCAGAAAGATACACATCTTTTAACAAATCATATGCCAAATAATGCAGTCAGTGAGGGATAGATCTAATCTTTAAGATTTTACTTCAATAATGAAACTTAAAATTGAGGTTAAAGCCAAATGCGTTAGACATTCCAAATATTGCTGATCAGTCATGCATAGTTACTGAGAAACAGACCTAATCCAATCACTGAAACAGGACCAACAAGAGAAGCCTGCTGATACACCACAGCAAACTATTTATCTAAAGCATTGAAATTATTCTTATCGAAACTAATCCAAAACCCTAACATTTAATGTTGACAACACTGGTAAAGTAACAGCTTTGTCACACTAATCAAGAAAGATACGGTACAATAACTTACATCTTGATGGTTATCATTGTACTGGTCCTTTCCAATGATATCTGGTAATGGTGAACTGGCTTCTATATCTACATCATACTCAACATGATCACTATCTGGTACACTTTTCCTCTCCTCATATTTCTTCATTTTTAAATTTTGACCGGATCTGTTTAGCTTCACTTGACTCGAGATTTTTTTCCCTGTTAATGGAGTTGAAGAATCTGGGATATTATCAATCTCTAGCACCAAACTAGAAGTTTCTTGATCTTTAAATGGTTTAGTTTTTCTAGATAGGTATTCTTGGTTTTTCAAATCCAATGTAAGAGTTTTACTTTTGTCACCAATATCATCTTCCAATAAAGTCAAATCATCAGAGAAATTCAATTTATCCTGACGAATTATTTCATCCTCCTCCTCCTCTGATATTTCAGTGTCAGCAATGTTGTCTCTCAATAATCTTTCAAATTTGTTTAGTTTTACATGTACTATGACATCGGTATCATTCTCTATATTTTGACCTTGTAACTCTGTTTTTTGACTTAATCTTTGTGTTCCCACACTTAGTTTCACAGCTTTGGCTTTCTTAGGCTTTTTTGGAGAAAATGTAAAGGTAGGAGAAATCTTGTGAGCTTTAGGAATGTTTTCTTGTGCTGTCATTGTTTCTTTTTTGGTAGGTGTTAATTCAGTATGCTTCTCGTCTGTATGAGAACTGAAAGGACTCTTTATTACATTTCTATAAGGACTGGTAGTTTCTAACTTTTTTGGTGAACTGCAGATTCTCTTTGATGTAAGAGTTTGATCTTTGATTCTATCACTTATTTCATTATTACTTTCATTCAGGTCTTTTTGTTTATCTAAATCTTCTGAGGCTGACTCACTGAAGGTGTTATTCTGTTGGTTTAATCTTTTCCTCTTTCTAGCAAGTCCTCTTACAGTTCTTTTTCCTTTACAAGTTTTCACTTTTTCAGGACTTAATATATGTTTATCTGGGACTGACAAATGGTTCTGCAATTTATTTCCTTGATTAATTGATTCCTTATCAATATAACTTATAATCTGCAAAGATTCAGGTTGTGGTGTTAAAAGGTCATTTTTCTTTTTATCAATGTTTTCTAATGGTTTAACAACAATTTTATCTTCAAACTGACCAGTTTTGTTAATATTTTCTGTTTCTTGGGTACCTTGATTTTTTTTCCAAAGAGATTTTTGACTAGCTCGTTCAACAATCAAGTTTGAGGTTAGCACTTCTGATGGTTCTAAGTCCAAACAAATAAGTCCTTCTTGATTCTGAGGTAAGGACGGAGAATAGTTGCTCTGTATCTCAGAATCCATCATAAAAATGTCCTCAGGAGAACAACTTTCTGTAGTCTCCAACTTATTTTTAGCTGTTCTGCCTTCTTTTGTCTCTTGATATGCCAATTGTCTCTCTTCAGATCTCCTCTTCTTTTCAGCAGAATTTCTAATATTAAGAGATTTCTGTGATACAAGGGTTGGAGGTAATGTATCATCTGTATCTAGGTTTAAATATCCTTGTTGAATTTCTTTTTCTTTGACTTTTTCCTCACTTTTATTTTGATCTACATGTTCAAATTCACAAGTACTGCTGTCTCCTCTTGAATCCACCGTCATAAGGACTTTTTCAACATTATTACTGCAATTCTTTTCTGCAGACTTTCTCTCAAGGCTAACTTTACCTTCCAAAGCTTCTTCGTTACAGGTCTGTGTGCCTGATAAAACTATAGGTGTTCCCATCAAATGGGCAGGGATATGTGGTTGGCTTATTATTTCAACATCAGAATCAGGAAATATTTCTTGCATCTTCCTCGATTTTACTTCACTATTTCTGGTGGAAATCCTTCTTTTCTGACTTGCTGAGCTACTTGATTGTGATTGATGTTTTCCTGATTTGATTGTATGGTCAGATAAACTCATCATTGAATCAGATTCTGTTGCTGGAATCATTTCAATACAGCTATCAATGTCTATTTCATTTGAATATGAGTTTTTCTCAGTTTTTTTTATATGACTTTTTATGTTTGTTTGGTCTACAGTTTCACCACTTTCAGAGCTTCCTGTAGGATTGAAGTTATCCCCCTTTCCTAGAGGAAGAAGTATAGAAACACTTTGTTGTGATGTTGTGTCACTAAGAGTATCCACATTTTTCAATTGTGATTGGCAATTATTTGAAACAGGTGTCTCCTCCACAACAGATTGAATTTCTATAGGACAGTTAGAAGCATCACTACATTGACTTTTTACTTTCCTGGATCTCAATTTACTCCTGCTTTTCCTCACTGGAACATCAGAGTCTACAGTTTCGTTAACAGTTGATACAGTTGACTGACTGCTAATTTCTGGTGATTTATTATTTTCTGTAACATTGAGACTTTGGTACATATTTTTTTTCTGCTTTTGCTTTGTTAATACTTTTTCATAATTCAGTTTCTGATCTTCACTGTGCATTCCATTATTTTGTGAACTTTGATTTTGACTTGGTGGTAACATTTCAGCAGGTTCAGGTTCAAGTTTAGCATCCATTATAATATCATCAACACTTTCTGGTATAACCTGGACTTCCATTGTTTCTATCTCATTTTCAAGCTGCATTCCATCAACATTTTCTTGTGTATTCTCAACATAAATATTTCTATCAATTATTGGAACACTTTCATCTGTATTTTCTGATAAATTTTCCACAAGCTGCGACCTATTTGGTGACAAATGTTCATTTTTTCTGACCTTGGTATCCTTTGAAAGATTTTGACTTTCAATCTGTCCATATCTACATTCATCTACTACAGCATGTTTCTGAGGTTCAGGAATCCCCTGTGTTGGATCTTTCTGAGATGCAGGTATCCCCTGTGTTGAATCTTTCTGATGTTCAGGAATCCCCTGTGTTGGATCTTTCTGAGGTTCAGGAATCCCCTGTGTTGGATCTTTCTGAGGTTCAGGAATCCCCTGTGTTGGATCTTTCTGAGGTTCAGGAATCCCCTGTGTTGGATCTTTCTGATGTTCAGGAATCCCCTGTGTTGGATCTTTCTGAGGTTCAGGAATCCCTTGTGTTGGATCTTTTTTATTTTCTATAATTCTACTTATTTCCTGTGACTGAACATCTGGAATAGATTAACATATTTATACCTGATTCCAATAGTTATAAAGAATTCATTAAGATAACAATGAGCTCAGCTACTGCTTATGAATGTATGTAAACCTTCTGAAACAGATCACATTTTTTTTTTCAGTAGGGAATAGTCAAGCATGAACACTGCTTGTTTGTTTCAGAGTGTGCCTGACTTTCCTTTGAAACGATCTGCAAATGGATTATACCTTACTGCTATTTCAAAATTTAAAGAAAACTTTTGTGATTGTGTGGGCAGGGTGAGTAACTACTGTAATTTCAGAAATTTTTGCTATGTTTTTATCATTGTCAAAATTGTTTCTCATAATTCAATTGGTGAATACTAATATCATAACAAGACTTTATCAAATAGAATATTCATAATATTCACCTTCATATTTTATTGGCATTCAGGAGAAAAATTGGTTAAATGTTCCTTTAACTATGTTAATCCTAGTTTTAAATTTGATTATGAATCTTGTCCTTTACAAAGTGAAAATCAAATACCATGATATGGCAGCTCAAACTCCTCTTGACTTGGATGAATGTCAAGGTCCTCAGTACTGGTACTGCCATCGGAGTCGTTATCTGAAACACAAAAAGAATGAATGCCAATGTAATAATGTCTAACCTATACATGCACAATGTACACATTATTTCATCTAATCTATACATCATTGTACATGCACAATATACAAATTAATTCGTCTAATCTATACATGCACAATATACAAATTATTTCGTCTAATCTATACATGCACAATATATAAATAATTTTGTTCAAAGTTTACATGCACAATATACAAATTATTTCAAGATCAAATATACATGTATTGACATTTGTTTAATTCAGATGATCCAAGTTTAGTATAATAGAATATCAAATTCTTCAGTACAAAGGGATTCAAAATCTACTAAGTTTGGTAGTTAGTTGGACAAACAGATCAAAAGATAACACCTGTAAAAACATTTTTGCCAAAATTTCAGGCAATGAATAGCTGATGTGAACTTGACCTTTAACATATTGATTCCAAAAATATATAAGGGGTTTTCCAATCCCATTAGGCGTCATGGGCGTTATTAAATTATATTTGGTAAAAGTTGGACATATGGTTCAATAGATAACATCCCCAAACAAAAATTATAACTTTGCCAAAATTTTAGTCTATCAATAGCTGCTGTGACCTTGACATTTGACCTATTGACAAAAATCAAGTATCCTTTACCCCATGATGCATTATCCAAACAAGTTTGGTAAAAGTTGGACAAAACTGTAACCAAAGTTTTGACCAAAATTAAGCTTACTAACAGAAGTCTTCCTCTTCCCACAAGGCATTGTGATGCAAAGTTTGGTAAAGATATTGTCCAGAAACCAAAAAGTTGATGCCTAGATGCTAAGACATCATTCATCATATCATAAATTGAGTATGATTTTGTTGAAACTCTGCTAAAAATGAAAATACTTGTTCCTTACATACCTACATAAACACTTTCAGCATAAGTCATTTGCAAAGTAAAATGGATTAGCTTGTGTTTTTTTTTTTAAACTTTTTTTTTAAGTGTAGGTTAATTGGTATTTAATTCATTTATTAAATAGACAACTTGAGCTTTAGATTGACATAAAGAATATAAAACGCTATTTTCTTTCAAAAGGAACACAATCATTTACAGTCAAGTGCTCTAATATATATATATACACCAAAAGACCATGTGTTGATACACAAAATTTAAAAAATTAAGTTTTTAAATCTTAAACACCACAGAATAAAATTGCCATAACAGTGACATTCAAAACTCATCGATATTATAGAATATAAAATTGTGTTAATTTCCTTTTCCAATTGGCAAAATATTCCTACCTGTCTTTGTTAATTTTATCCTTATATAGCTGTCAGCCACAGATTTTTTCCTCACAATTGAGTATCTACGAAGCAGATGTATTTTTCATTTTTCTTTATGGCCCTTAGTAGCTCACTATAGGGTATGTGTTTGGTCATTCTTAAAGGATGCACTGCTACCTGTAATTGTTCTTAGCTTTGTCTTCTGATCTTAATGAACAGTTGTCTCATTTGCAATCATACCACATCACCTTATTTTTTAATGTGTATAGATATTAACTCATATATAATCTTTATCAATAGTAGTTCAATACCTTTTTCCTCCCATACAAAAGGCTTCTTGGTTTTCTCAGCCATGATTTCTTGTTTCTTCTGCTTTATTACTTGAACCCGACTTGATGCAGACAAATTCTGCTTGCCATTCTGAACATTTTTTCCCCTGGTCTCCTTTGGAAGCAGTCTACCTTTGTTCTTATCCACCACCATAGGCACGGACCTTCTTGTCTGACGAGGTGTTCCACTGATTTCTATATTATTTGATGCAAATGAAACGGATTTCCTCCGTTTCAATGAAATCTGCATGTTTGCAGTATCTGGAATTATATCTTCTGATGATGCTTTGTTAGAATCCTCCCTCCAATCCATTTGCTGTAAAACTTCTTGAGTGCATGTCAACAAATCCTCATCTTCTGCTGAATTTATTGTCTCAATCAACTTTTTAATATTCTTTTTATTAGTCTCTTCTTCCTGTTTCTTCTTCTTTAATTTATTTGATAATCTTGCTCCCTTCTTACTTTTTCCTAAATGTGTAGAATCGTCAAGACTACCTGGCATTATGTTCAACTCACTATTAGTATCCGTTTTATTTGAGTTTAGGCTTTTAACTACCTGTGCAGTTTGTACAGGTGTTGTATTTTCTGGCAAAATATCACTCTGTTTCCTTCCATTGTGTTTTTCAGTATCTTCCATTAAGCTGCATTGGTCAGTTGAATTAGTTTCTTTTGTGATTTTAGCCATATTCTCTGTTTGTATATGCTGGTCATCACTAATATCAATGGATTCCTTCTGTTTTATATTTGTAGTATTCCCACTCATAAAATCTAGTTTCCCTTTCATTCTATCTTTTTTCTGTTTCTTGACATGTTTAATTTTCTTGGATTCTGGAATAACAGGTGTTTTCTGGCTGGATTTGAATTCAAATGGATCAATGACAGCCTCTTTCTCAACAGAAACATTGTTTTGGTGTGTTGATTTAGAGGCAGTGTTCCCTGTTGGAGAAACTTTCTTTATTACGAGCACACCTTTTTTCTGACAAACTGAGGTGGTTTGGGTTGTTGGCTTAGATTTGAAAATTCTTCTCTTTTGTGAAGCTAAAGGTCTGATTCCTAAGTTGTTAAAATCTACAGCATCTATTTCAATTGTGTCAATCATATTAATTTCATCTTCTGATGTGATGACAGAGGTTCCTTTAACTTCTGCACTATTTTCTTCTGAGAAATTTTCCTTATTCCCTTTTAGACTATTTTTCTTATCATTCTCTTTCTCGTTCAATACTTCTAATACAGGATTTTGTTTATCTACATCCTCCTCAATTTCAATTGGAACATCAATGTTCTCTACCATTCCGTGTAGTAAATTAACCTCCCTATTGCCACTATTTTGGCTAACAGGATTATCTGTTAACCATGAATTAACCTTAGAATATATTTGGATATCACTTGCCTTATTTCTCTCCCTTTTATATGTTTTATCTGCATTGGCATTATTTTTCTGCCTTCTATATGTTTTATCTGTAAACAGCTGTCTTTCCTTATGTTGGAAATCTGGAGATGCCTGATCTTGACTTGCGTCAGTCTGACTATTCTTTTGAACTGATAAAGTAGAATCAATTCTGTTGTTTCCAATTGTCAATTCTTTTCCTTTTCTTGCTTCAACTCTTTCAGTTCTGATTCGAGTGTCATTTAAGCTATTGTTAGTACTTTTAACATGTTTAAAGCCATTATCTTCCATTTTTAATTGAGAACCTTGTTTTACCTGTAAATTGTCCCTTTGATGTCTTAATAAATGCACAGGTGTTACAGGCGAGTCACTGAAATTATATAGATTACTTTTGCTTGTTGGACAAAGACTGTCTTTGCCTTGACTTTCAACATTATAATTTACTCTTTTGGGACTCCTTAAACTGTAACCCCTTGGTACTTTCTGTTTTTCATAAACTAAATCAACTTCCTTTGTCTTGCTTGTATCTACATATCTATTCAATGTTTCTGAGGACACAATTTTTTCCTTGTCTGTAAGTATTCTACCACATTTTGTGACATCATTCTTTGATTCAGTAATATCTTTAAGTAAGACATTTTGTTTGACTATTTTCACATTATTTTTTCTTAATTCATATGTTAACTGTTTTGCTGATGTTTCAAGATTCTGTGTTTTTTCTTCAGAATTACCACTTTCAGCCCCACAAGATCCCTGGTCAAGATACTTTAATAAATCACATTGATCTTCAATGGCCAAAATCTTGCTGCTTGTTTCTGCAATTGTCTTTTCATGTTCAGGAATTTTGAGAGACTTTCTTCTTTTACTTTGCCTACAATTCTGTTTATTCTCTGTTCTCTGAAAAATATCAAACACATAAGAAAGAATTAATCTTTTTGCTTTGTTGTATAAATCATGGACAAATGTTTAACCCTTAGTACTGCTACCTTCTCTAATTATGACATTACGAGGATAATTCTATCAAACCAACATTATAAAGTTGATAATCTCTGTTGAACTTTTAAGCTTTGTTGAAGGGTTTAAAGTCTATTGGTAATGGACACTGAAGTGCATTGAATAAATCAGTATCACACATCAAGCAGCTAAGTAATCATGTGCATCTTGTCATTTTACAATAACTTGAGACTTGATAATGATGATGATGATTGGATTTAAATGTACAACAGGAAAAATTACATTACAAGTTGATAAAATGTTAATTAATTGTTAAATAAATACATCCTGCTTAACAGCTTTGTAACATGTAAGAGCTGGGATTTCAATATGCAAGATAACATGTCACTCTTATTTTGACTCTTGAGCCAAGCAGTCTTTGCTCTTACTCTATAATGATGCCTGCTTAATGGAAAAAGAGGAAGTACCAACGTAAATGTCTTAGTTAGATCCAGACAGGGATTAAACCCATAACCTGCCACACTAGAAATGAGCATGCTACTACAAGACCACTGAGACTTGAACAATGACGTTAGTTGTGATAGCCCAATTATTTTAAAACAAAAGTCCAAATTCTGAAATATCTCTCCTGCTTCACTGATTGTAATTAAATTTTATGTTGTAAGCCTTTCAAACCATGGTCTTATAACAGGTCAAACAGAACTAACATTATCATTGATTCATGAAAAAGTCATGATCAGATGAACTCTGTCCTACGAACATGTACATGTACACCTTACAATCATTCTGTATAGTTGATATTGTTGACCTATTAGTTATAATATCAGAGAATACTCTAACCAAGTAAACATAATATTGACCATTGACCCATGTAAATGAGGTAATGGTCAGGCGAACCCTGTAAGAAGGGCATCTAAAAGGTAAAATATTCTATAAATCCAATATACCTGACCTATTACTTATAGTATCTGAGAAACAGACCTTATCAGGAAAACTTAATGTTGACCAATGAACCATGAAAAGCCAGTCAAGGTAAATGTGCATAGTGCAATCATTCCATGCACCACATATAATTACTCATTGCTTATCATGTCCAACAAAAACACGACACCTACTATTGAACCATGAAAATGAGATCAAGGTCATATGAACCCTGCCAGGCAGACTTTTAACCTTACAATGATTCCATACACCAAACATAGTTGACCTACTGTTTATAATTTAATTATTGTATCTGAGATAAGGACTTGACCTTGATCACTGATCCATGAAATCAGGTCGAGGTCAGGTGAACCCTGTCTGATGGACATGTAGACCTTTAAAGGATCCATATACCCAATATAGCTATCTTATTACTCATTATAAGCAAGAAATTCACATAAAAAAAAAGTTTTTATAAGCAGTAATGACCCATGCAAAAGAGGTCAAGGACAGTTGATATTCGTTTGATGTGTTTGAGTTTTTGATTTTGCCATTTGATAAAAGACTTTTTGTTTTGAATTTTCCTTGGAGTTTGGTATATTTGTTATTTTACTTTTTCATATATGACAGATGGATACTTCATAACAAAACACTTCTATATACAGATTGTTATTTTTATGTCTCATTTTGCGACTTTTATTGCAAGCCAGACAACAAATTACATTTGAAAGGGATATAATTCTTGTAATATTAATTGATCAGCACTGAATTTTTAACCTGTCCAAGACAATACTGATATAACCCTCTGATATAAATTTCATAAAAATCTGACAATGAAGGCTTGAGAGCACTTACAATAAAATTTCTCATTTTCAAGGAACAGTACTCATGTTAACATAATTGATCAGCATTGATTTTCAAATTTTTCTAAGTCATTGCTGATGTAAACCTTTGATATGAAATTCAATAAAGGAATGAAGGCTTAAGAGTTAAACACATATGATAGGAATAAGTTAAATGTACCAATATATACCTTAGGTGAATCTACAATTATTTTCCTCTTAGTGCCCCTTGCTGCTTTGCATGGTAATGGCTCTGGTGTACATGGAGTAAGGTTCATTGACGGAAGCCCTCTAGGAGGAGAAACTGCAAAAAGATAAACATCATTTAAAGAAATGCATTAACAGATCTATTCAGTTGGTCTTTAGTACATATTTATTGAATTTCAAAATTTAAATCCAGAATATTTCAAAATCACTATCTTTGTCTTTTTCTTGTGAAATATAAATATTTACACCTCAAATAGGACAAAAGTTTTTTTCTTTGTGAAATTTGATAAAATCTGATGGATTTCAAAGAAATTTTTGTCTGGGAAACATATAGCCCAGTGTTAGACAAACTTATTATTCAAGTCAATTATGTTATTTGATAAAACAATCATAATGGTAAAAGATAAGTTTTGTTGAAACATTGGGCTATATGTTTCCGGTCCTGAAAAACAATGGAATTGGCCTGCTTTCATTTAATTTTGTGGAAAATTGAAATTGACAAAAAGACATCATACAAAGAAAACTGATACTTAAACTTTCAAATACAGACATAACAGTTTCTTCATATCTGAGAAACAGGTAATATATGCCCTCAATTTTAGAAATTCATTCATACATTTTTGTATTATTCAAAAATTATCAGTCAATATGTGTTTTACAAGGATCACCAGTCCTTCACCATTCACTTGATACCTTAACAGCTAAAATATATTCTACATAGTTTTATATTTACACCTTTGCATAGGAACTATTTTGTTTTAAATATGTACTACTTTCCAGTATAATAATAATAATCCTTACTCCTTGAGAGGTGTCACTCAAGGTAATCTGATAGTTCCTAAGCCAAAAGCTGAGCTATTTAAGAAATCTTTTGTTTATTCTTGATCAGTGTTATGGAATGGACTACCACACAAAATACGTAAAGCTCAAAACACTTATACTTTTAAACAAAGTATCAAGAAGTACTTAACACAGTCCTGATAAGATTATGTTTTCTACAATGTATTTGTATATTTTTTTATTTTTATTTGATTTTTTGACTACATATACATCTTGAACAGCTTTATATCTTATCATGTTAATAATATTACATTGAACTACTTGACTGTAAATTAACTATAAATTAACTTTGTGTAAATACTTGTTTTTGATTGTATTGTAATTTATATGTGAGGGCCTCAGGGAAGATTAGTTTATTGTAACTAACTGAGTTGACCCTCTTTAAATAAAGAATTTATTATTATTATTATTATAGTATGTTCTTTTTTTACCGGGCCCGATTTGGTGGTGATACATCTTACAAAGCCTATCCGAATCATTTTGCAAAGAATTCTACTCAAACTGGTCAGTGTTCTCCCCAGGATTTTTGGATAGCACCAGGGTAACGCGTGTGGACTTCTTGGTGAAATATTTCATGCAATCAGTTGTGTCGCGTCTTTTCACTTAGCTATAGTTACTGTAGTTTTTATGTCTCTTGTTTTGTTTTAACACTGTGGTACTGTGTTATGTAGACATTGATTCAGAAAATTATTGGTAAAAAAGAAGTAAATAAAAAAACAGTTTGTATATTTTTTTAAAATAAATAAATTATGATTCATAATAAAATATTCATCTGAATTTAAAGTAATTAAATCTTTTATAAAATCCAAAATCAATAAAAATAAAATATCATTCAAAAGAGAACAAAAATGTTCAATTTAAAAAAACTTTCTAGTTTCTAGAAAAAAAGTTGTTGTATGTGAAAGGATTCCTGTCATAAGAGGATATAAAATTAACAAGAACAATTGCAAATGTTGTTTTATTATTTGAATCAGTTTCTATCCTAGATTTTAATAAAAAGAAATTTTTCATAAATTTTAGAACATTTTGCCATAGATTTCATGTAAATATTAACCTTTCTTGTCTTTGATGATAATCAAACATGGATACAGACTTAATACTGCCCTAAAATCTAAATCTTTATTTGTCATGAACCATTTAAAAAGAATTCCTAAATCTATAAATTTATCTTTGGTCTATAGATCTATAAGTAACCATATTCAATGTCAACAACTAAGTCTCCCTATTTTCCCGCCTAAATGACAGGAAGTAGATATAAATAGATTTAACACGTGCTTATGGATAAAATTTGCAAATTCTTCTGTTATTCATTAATTATGGATATAGATATCCAGTTTGAAGGTACAGTCATGCATTTTATTTATAAAATATAATAGATTGCAATTAATTGTAAATAAACTTGAATATTCTACGTGAACTGGGTCATGTGATATGTACAGACAGATACTACAGTTTGAAACCCGACTATCATGCAATTACTATGTCATAATTAAAGATAATATTGGCCATGGTTTAATCAGAGACATATAATACTATAATATAAGAATTGGGAAATGTATAGTTGTCCATTATACGTAATGAGCCACCATTATGATGTACAAAAAATGTACCTATCGGGTCAAGACGCTGTTTGTGTACAAAGTATTTGCCGACTTGTCACAGGTCAGTGCTTGGGTGGAGAGTGAAGCCGTAAAATAGTTATCTGTGATCATAAAGTTATGAACTCTTAATTAAAACACAAAAGAATCATGTTACAAGTGTCAATTACATCGATTAAATCCAATCAACAAGGTTAACCTCATAAGGTAAATCGATCAAGTGGTGTAAACAATCTGTGTTGAACTGGTTTGAACTGGTCAAATTTCACCTGGAATTTTATACCGCACGGAAAAGATTTAACAAGAAAAATTATACATCGCGGTAAGAATGATACCACCACGGTAAAAAATTATACATCGCGGGCCCGCGGTCCTTTAAGGGCCTGGGGAGAACACTGCTGTTGCTGGGGGCCATCTTAAACTTGCAGTGAGGTGGAGTTGATTTTGCTCAGTGTTGATGGCCTCACTGTGACTTTGAGATGAAGAACAGCAATAAAAGCGCTGTTCCTTTGCTTTTTGCAGTGCATGTACTGATATGTGTCATTGATGGATACCCCATATCCTTTGTTTTTCTATTATATTATCCATCTAGTCATTGTTTTAAGATTCATTGTGATAACAGCCATTGAAACCTTATTTCAAATTTAAGCCTATGTCTCGCCTGTAATATACAGAATTTAAAAAAATCCATTTTTCTTAAGAATCTATTTCTTGATCTTGAAGAATTTTCTGTCCACGTTTCATAACATTCCATGAAGTTTAATGTCTCAAAAATTTAATTCCAGACTGTAAATGTTAACTTCTAAAAGCTTTGTTCATTGATCCGTAAAATAAGGAAAAATGAAAAAAAAATATTTTCAAAATTTTGCATCAGACATTATCTCTAAATCATAAAGCTGGCAATGTTTCATAAAATTCTACGAAGTTTTGACAAAATTATTGATGTCTAAAAAACTTAAACGCAAAACTGTATCTTAATGTTGACTGTAAAAAAAAAATACCAGTAAAATATGGAAAAATGAAAAAACAATATTTTCTAAATTTTGTTTTCGAGAAACTCTTTTTTGGTTATAAAAAAGCTTCTTTCCAAGATTCATGCAATTGGTTTCACAAAGTTATTGATTTTAAAAAAACTTCCATTTCAGACTGAATCTAAATGTTGACATCCCTGACAATGCTAAGACGGAATGTAGAATCAATATGTCTCGCTTCAGCAAAAAAATATTGCATACTGGACAACAACAAAAAACAACATACAGATAGCCCCTGTGTCTTCTTGAAAAGCTTGGATCAAGCTTCTCACACCTTCCACCATACTGTTTAACTGTGGTCTTTCATTCAAGCTCCTGAAAAAAAAAATCAACTTTTTTTTTATTAAAGGGAAAATTCGCGATTTTTTACTTATCATCTTATTATGTTCATAATACCATAAAAAACATATTCACCAAGTTTTATTTGGATATGAAAACTAATAAAGAAGAAAATTGGGAATTATTAATTCTATTTATTCAAACTTCCTGACTTCTGTGACGTAGTTTAAGTATTTTTGCATGCCGGGAGTGGAATTAATCTCATTTAAGTCTTGTTCGTTAACCATCTAATAACGCGATTTAAAGCGCATCAACGACTCTTGGTGTAGCTATTAACCAACTAAAAATTAAGAAAGTAAAGTGATCAGTAAAATTAAATTGTAGGATTTATGTTTTAAGGATTTCTGATATGATTATAGTAATAAAAGTAAATCATACAATAGAACATTTTTATGATATTTTTCCGACGAATATTTTGAACAAACATATATAACTGACATGATTGATAATGTATTAAAAATGCATGTTTGTATTCTGACCTTTTACTTAAGTCCAGCAAACATTTCCAGCTAGTACTGTGTAAATACAATGTGTATTGTACTGTGACACTTAGTGACTGTTGAATGCGTGGTTAAACTCAGGGTAATTAAAATTTCTTTTGATCTTCACTCAGTGAATCTTAGCCGTCACGGTTCACCGTTCCAGGTGTGAACAACATTTTGTATGAATGATAAACGGGAGTGATAGTTTTAGACTCAGAAAATATAAAAAAGAAATATAATTATTTTGGGGGAGTGATGAGGTTGCACAATAACTGGATAGTCGTGGTATATTTCTATATTTTGCGTAAGCTCAGTTTAAAATGAATTATGACTGCTGTCACTGTTTTTGTAACCATGAAATACTGAATTGATTTAATTTAATAGGTTTATAAATAATAATGGCCTTCTAAACACGAGTGTATGAACTAAAAATTGTACTATTTCAAATTAGAATCGGTAACCTTTATTATTTAAAATAGATAATTACCAATTGTAATTATATAATTTGGTCCGTCCAAAGCGATCTTTCTTTACATATTCATGAATTAATGTTCTCATCAAAATATTTTAAATCTGTCTCTGTCACAACGTATAAATACTTCAGCTATTTGAAAAAAGATGTTTGAAAATTTGACAGGAAATTCTTGGAATTGAATCAAATAATTACAAACAAATATTCTTTTCAGGTGTGAAAAACATAAAAAAAAAAGGATTCCTAATCAGGAATGTCCTTATTAAAATATTATAAGTCTCACAACGTATAATACTTTAGCTATTTAGCTATTTGACCAACGATGTTTAAAAAAAAATACAGAATCAATCTAACGTCAACCTTCCTTTTTTTTTAATGGAGACAGACCGGCGGAATCAATTTTCAATGTGCTTTATATCTTGTACCTTTGCAAGACTTATAATTCATTCATAAACCATGTCTTTACCAGAGACATATATACACATATAATCATATGTCTGTTTTAACTGGCAAGAATACCCCTAAAGCGGAAAAGCAGTCTATTCTTTAAATTTCTGTTATTTAATACCAAGAAAGAAAAAAATCTGGAAATTAATTTGATACTTTGATACTCAATATTTTACCTGGAAATTATTCATTTCCTCTTTCGGTTTGAAAATAAGATAATAATGTGGTATACAGAACATGCAGAAGTGTGAGTGTCATAAAACCTTGTTATATCACAAACCATTATAAATGTGAACCTGTATACGCAAGACCTCATAGGGCGACACCTAACCACATACAGGTAATATACAAGAAGCTCTGTTATACCTGGAAATGTCATGGGATACATAATGTATCAATGCAAAAAAAAATTCTGATGATTGTGAAGCATGGCCATTCATGATTTTAGAGAAGTCTTAGATGGGGGATTGCAGAAACGATTTAAATTCTGAATAGATTTTTTCTCAATTTAAATCACTGAACTAAAAAAAAAGAGAAAAGTACGTCCAAGAACAGAATTCTTCCTGTAAATTCATAAATAAAACACTCTTATTTTGTAACTTTCAATAGACTTGACCTCCAACACGCCCCCTCCCCCAAAAAAAACAACAACCTGGGAACCATAAGTACATCTAACAATGTTTATGTCCCTGCCCAAATCCCCCCCCCCCCCCCCCCCAAAAAAAGAAGAAAAAAGAAAGAAAGAGATGAACGGTATTTCACATCAGATTCAGATATTTATATAGTTGATTGTCGTTAACTAGAGATGCATAGTGACATGTCTCTGCGTTAACTGATTAGAATAACAGGAAAGTATAAACTTGAAAAAAATAGATTGATGATGAATAATATGCGGCACCCCTTTTTATCAAAGCGTACCGTCATTCATGTAAATGAGTGTCCGTTATTTCGATTAAGAATAACAATTGTACGTGAAATCCTATAGATGGTGAGACTTTTTTTACCAGATATGCGACTTTCGTATTTATATTTTTTCTCATGTTACCCTTATCAAAGATATAATAGCTGGCTATTATATCTATGCTCTTATTTAATATTTTATGCATACTAAGAACAATATTGGGAATGGTATATTCACCCACAATCTAACGTCAGTGGCGTAGCTAGACTTATAATGATCTGCACGCAGAAGCTGCCGAGCGTAGCGAGGCAAAAAAATTTCACCGAGCGGAACGAGGCGAAAAAAAATTTTGGACCTTTTTTTACAGAAAATGAATCTTTTTTCGATCTAAAATGGTTAATTTTGAAGTCAAGTATGCACAGTTGAGTGTTTTGCTATACTAGTATATCAAATCAAAGACCTAAAACTGACTAAAAAATTCTAAAAACTTTGCAATGCTCGCCAATTTATTATGCTTCAAAGAAAGAAAGGGCTAGAGAAATGGATCCTCTCATGACATATATGTTAACATACGAAAACAAAGCAATTCAAACAATTAATTTTTAATTTGGTGATATATGTATGTAAGACCGTATGTAAGACTGTTAACAACCGAGGTCCTTTAGGAGAGTAACATTTTCATTTGCCTAGCATTGTTAAACGTGTCAATAACTTCTTTAGTGTCAATGTCAAAATCAGAATGAACGTGCAGCAGTGCAAGTGAAGAAAGTCTTTCTTATCCCATGGTCGATCTCAGATACGTTTTTACGCGTTTCAGAGCGCTGAAAGAGCGTTCAGCAGTAGAGGTTGAGGGTGGCATGGTGAGAAGTATTTGCAGAATACAGAATATATTTGGGCAAAGTTCTTTCGGCGTCATCTTCAATGTTGCACAGAGATGGTCTGGTTTCTTAGATGGATAAATATCCCATCGCGCAACCCACCTTTTAATTTTGAGAAGAAACTGATCTTCTGATTGAAGATCGGACTCGTAGGCGCGAAATATCGTATTTAATGGTCCCGGTTCAAACTTTTCAGATTGTTTGGAAGAAGCATCTGGGCAAGAAAAAGTTCTTCCAAATTGACAAGACGATCTCGTAGTTCGTTTTAAATTAGTAGATGGTCTAAACATTGTATATACCGATGTACGCACAACAAAACTGAACTGATAGAAAACACGGAAACCTTTCTGACAAGTTGAAACACCTATATATACAAAGCGACAGTCAATCGCACTCTTTCTTTTTTTGACTGCTATGATTTTTTAATTATGATTTTTTTTTGGGGCCATTTCGTTTGTGCACGCAAGTGCGTCGTTGCGTCAATGGTAGCTACGCCACTGACTTAATAAATTAATCAACCCTCTTGCTGGTCAGACGTTAATACGGTATTCGTTAATTTATTTTTTGTACAACTACTATCAGTCTATCCGAAGTGAAGTTTCTTTATTTCTTCAAATAGACTTTTTGGGATCATTAGTGTACGTCCAGTGGCATATAATACATGCATGTCGGAACAGGAAAATTGACATAAGGTACTTTCAGAACCATGTTCACCTTATTATACATTATACAATGGAAGTAATATTAAATATTACTTCCATGATTATACCCAACAATAGTGATGATGATGAATTTCTTCAATTGTTCAAGAACAATCTAATTGAAATATAAATCTGTGATTTTACTATGTCCATAACTTCGATGAACCAAAGCAAGTTAGATATGTATTTAAATCAAATTGTTCTGGATGTTTCTTTCTTATATTCAATATACATGTATATATTTTAAATTGCGACTATCTATAGTTCCGTAACTTTCTATCAAGGCGTATAAATCAATGATCGACAAGTGCGTACATTTTTGTTAAATCAATATTTCTTGTATGTTTCAAAATGTCCATCATTATTGACAACGAGTATATACTTACATTTACCCCAATTTACCCTTGGAAAAAAATTTGTAAATATATTTTTATTTTATCAAATCTTTTTTTGGAATTATTTAGATTTTCATAAATAGTATTCTTTACACCAGAAATGTTATTTATAAACAAGCGTATGAGTTTAGTAATGACAGAGATGTCTCTGGTCATGACTAGTATATCACTATCGGCACGCAAGACAGAGATCTATATTATACACCTGATATTTTCAAAATGGAAAGTTACAAGTTATCGGCCGTATACACTGATCAATACTCTCACAAGTGAGACGATGCATGAACTTGCTTTATGTAATTGTGTAATAAGAGTTTTTAAGCCCGACAGGAAATCGCTTGAATACCTGGACGTGTCACCTCACAATACCTTTGGGAGTAATACCTTTAGCCATGCTGGTGATCAGATAAGGGAAGGTCCGAATTTATTTAAATAAGTTTATTACATAAAAGAATTATGAACAAATTAGATTTTCGAAAACAATTTTACACGGAACACTTATTTATGACTTTGAACTTTGACTTTTTAACTAATTCCCATATAAACAGTTTGAAAACCAACAGACCATAGTTATTTAACAAATAATTACATTTTCCGTATCAAGTTAGTTAGTCGGATAAAACAACCGTACGATTGACAAGATATCGACACGCAATTACGACTACATTAGGTTACTGCTGGTTTTGGTCCTTTGTGGTTTATAGATATATCGTGGTTTCTAAACCGAGAAGATGTCAAAATGGCCGCACGCAGAGAATTGATACTCTAAATTTAAAATTGATGGTGATCTCTTATCTAGCAGAATAAAATTTTAATATTTATGAATTCGAGCTTTTTTATACAGAATGGACATAATATCAATTTTTCATTTTTTTGCGAAGTTTCCCTTTAAAGAATGCAATTTCAAGACACTAAAACAAAATTGAAATCTTATTCTGAAAACTATTCTCCTGATAGGGAGGTCAAATCTCCAACAAAAAATATCTTCAATTATATTGTCTTCAACTGTTGGTTGCAGAGATTTTTTGTTTTCCCCATCTCACCACTGAAATCTTAGTGGTAGCATATCTCTCTAAAAGTTTCAACACCAATTCATTCTGGTCAATATGAAATTCTAGTGAGAAGACAACATTCACATATATAACAGACGATTAAAAATTTTAATTTATTCAATAAAATACCATCATTTGGCTTCAGTTTTCTAAAGATACAAAATAAGTAATTTCAAACCTGAATGATTTTACCAGATACATGTACAAGTTTTAATTTTGTTCTATTTCTTAATTACCTTTTAGTGATAGGAGCTTTACACAGTGGACAAGGCACAGACCTCTTCTTTTCTAAAAACTCTAAAATACAAAACCTGAAAAACAATTGAAATATTTATATAAATTAAGGAAAAGAACAAATCCTTTCTTGTAATTCTACTTGTATTGTTTTTATATTACTGTCTAACTCCACCACATTCTGTATGTGCCTGTCTCAAGTCAGGAGCCTGTAGTTCAGTGGTTGTAATTGGTTCATGTCCATCATATTAGTTTTTCGTAAAATGTTTTGTTATAAATTAGGCCGTTAAATTTTCTCAGTTGAATTGTTTCACATTTCTCATGTTGTGGCCTTTTAAAGCAGACTATACTATATGGGTTTTTCTCGTTGTTGAATGACGTATGGTTGCCTATAATTGCTTACATCCACTTTATTTGAACTTTGGTGTATAGTTGTCTCAATTTTATGGAAATAAAATAAGCGCTGAAATCAAGGTCAAGGTCAATTGAAGCCTGTCAGATGCACTGTAATATACTGACATAAAATTTGTTTTCAACAGGTACTGTAAATTCATGTTTATTCCCATAAATGACCATGAAATTGAATTTTCAAATAAAAAGTACGAAATATTTCAGTTTTCATTGATTGAGTTTGAAATAAGACAATAAATTTTTCTCATGGTTTAAACAACACAAAGATTTGTTATTTGAGAATTGAATGCTGTAACTTCAGGTATTGTTTATGGTATTTAGAAGGAATGAATTTATTTGTGCATTGTTAACCTTTTGTTAAATTAAACATTGCTTTTTGATTAATTGTTGTTTGTATTATGTCCAATTGCAAATATTTCAGACATGTTTAGGACGAGAACAAATTAACAATAAATACAATAGGAAGGTCCTGCCATTAAAGGTTAACTGTGATGGTTGGAATAATTAAATATGTAGAAAATTTGGCATGCAACTTGAAAATCAGGGTATATTCGACAGGTGCAGAAATTAACCCTTGCAACAGGCCACCTATATATTCTTCAACAAGTTGTTTTCAAGGGTTCCTAACATGCAGAGAGCCTGACAATATCTATCCACAAGGCTTTAGATTAAACGTCTTTATTCTGACCAGAAATAGCTCTGAAATTATACAGCCCCCCCCCCCCCCCCCCCCCACACAGAAAAACATATGCCCGATTTTGGTAAGGGTTTTACTGTCTGAAAGAAGAAGACTAAGGGGATTCGCATTTTTCTACCTATTTAGGCAATATTTTAAATTGAGTTATTTCCCTTGATCACACTTGCACATAATTTCTGAGTTACTATAAATTATTCACGAGCACAAATAGGATCTAAAAAAAATGTTATCAAAATCCTATGTAGTGTGTGCTAACAAAAATCTAGAGTGTCTGTGAGCAAAGCTCACATAATGATACCAACTCCCATAAAAATGTATGGCAGTTTATGATATCAAAATAGGAGGTGCACAATGGCATCATATTGTGAAGATTCTGAGAAAGTTTCAATAAGTTCTGAATTGGAGTTTGGGATGACTTTAACACCTACGTTTGTAACTTCAGAACTCTTTGTTAACACTGTATTCACACAACTGTAAGTACATCATAAATGCAATACCTTTAGAACTGATAACCACCTTTAAGGTTTTTTGTATTTACAGTGTACAACATGTACTTAATTTTTATCAAAATGTAGTATTAACAATGTTTAAGTACCCAGTAGTTATAGAATTGATGCCTTAATTTGATGGCCACTTTTTTGAGGCTAGATCATACATGTATTGTACATTTACTTGCAGAATAGATGACTTTTCAAGATTGGAATAAAAGTTAACATCTACCTGCAGACTGGGCTACTGATCTAATTTAATGGATATTGTATTATTTAGAAAGTATATGTGAATACAATGTAGCTGATCCTGTTGTCAGGGTTTGATATTAAGAATGTACATCTGGATGTACCTGCAAAATGGGTGGCCATCTTTTGTGGAAAATGTAAAGTTTTGAAAGTGTATCAGTAATTAATTTTACTTGCAGAATATACTTCCCTGTTTTGCCAAAACTATTATTTACAATGCACATTTACCTATAGCTATAGAAAGGGCAGACACCTTTTTATTGATATTGTATCTATTAAGAATCATGTACATGGACACCTACCTGCAGAATGGATGGTCACAATTTGTTGACACTGGATTATTCAACAGTTCAAGACTGAAAAAAAAAACAATCCATATAATGGCCTATTTCCAAAACAAATATAAGGGCAATAGGTATTCCATGAAAATAAAACTTGCATGATTATGCATTTGCTTACATTTGTACATGTACATAAACACAACTAGTTGGATATTTTTTCAGTATACATATTAGATACATTTTGTTTTCATATTTATAGTAGTTATGCTTTAAAATATTATAAAACCCCTTTATCCGTTAACGGGAATTACAACGAAGTTCCTTGGAATTAATATTTATATGGTAGCTGTTTTGCCGTATCATTTTCTATCATATATAACACATTAGTTAAACAGTTATATAGAGAGTACCAGTTTTGTCCCACTTTTGTTTTATTTTCTCTTCATTCAACTATAAATCCAGGCTTGCGATATTCCTTATGTGATACCAGTTTTGTCCCTACCCTTTTTGATGTTTTTATATCCTTTTAATCAACCGCATAAAGTACCAGTTACATCCCATCACTTTGATCTTTTTCAAATACATGTATCAATTATTTTTTCTGACACCCGTATGATCAGGTTTTGAAACCATTACCTATACATTGTATATAGGGTAGCAGTTTTGTCCCACCATTTCATATTTGCTTAGAATTATTTGTGGGGATTGAAATGTTACCAGTAAGGTACCAGTTCCGTCCCACCTCTTTTACATTTTTCAAATGTTCTTTAATTGTTGAACGCCATTATGATCAGGGATTGAAACAGTTACCTATAGGGTTCCAGTTTCGTCCAACCATTTGATCTTTTCTTAAAGTTTTTTAGGGGAGATTGAAAATGAAACCTATAGGGTACCAGTTTCGTCCCCCATTTTTATCTTTTTTAGAATCTTCTCTTCCCCAAAAACTATTCCAAGCCCCTTTTTGCTAATTGGCTCTTATCCCCAAAAGAAAACTCCTTTCAAGGCCCTTTTTTAAATTGTTAAGTAGTTTATATTTTAAACATAAAGTTTTCACTTCCAATAAAGTTACAAACCTTACATACAGACTTCAAATTCACTTTACTGTGTTATTCGACCCATCCTTCCTTTTAAATCTAACCAATTTCAATAGGGGTGGGATGAAACCAGAATTATATACAAGACACTTATCTATATATAATCCCGGTTTCGTCCTACCATCTATATTAAAAGGTAACAAATTTCCATAGGGGTAGGATGAAACCATGATTATATATAAGACACTTATCTATGTATAATCCAAGTTTTGTCCCACCCTTTAATAAAGCCTGCCAACTTTTCACAATCTCCATGGGGGATTTTAAGTGCAAGAGGACCTAATGCTTCTCTTACAATGCATATTGTCATAAGTGTTCTTAGTCTACTATTACACATGTATATTGTTAAAAAATGTTTGATTGAGTATATGCATGTACATGTATTTGCTTCAATACCCTTTTAACTCATTTGAATGCCTGTTTTGAGGTGTTCAGTTTAAATAATAAAGAATTTCAAAATTCATGTCAACACCTCTCATATGTCAATGTAACACAATTCCATATTACTATACGTGGGACGAATCCGGGGTTACATCATAAGACAATCATTGAAAATATTTGTTTATCCATGCTTTTATAAATTATAAAAAGTATTAATTTCCATTTTCATAATTCATATAAGCTGTTGTATCTTGAAAAAAGTTTCATCCCACTTTTATGCCAAATCATTTATCATAACCCATTAGAGTGACTAGTCCCAAGATGTTTGATGATGATGGATGGCTGTTAAATTCCAGTGGCGCATTAAAATGCATATTCAGGAAAAGAACAGAATAATGAGATATGAATATAAACTGTTAACACAGAGATATGTCTCGCCTATTTGTTATTTGGCTAATGCAAATGTTGAAATTAAAATAGCAATACTTTAACATGCAAGTTATGCAAATATTGAAAGTCAATGAACCATGACTGAAGGTACAGGGCTAAACATGCACAATCTCCATGGAAATGCATACCTGTCAACTGACCCGTATCCTGCGGATGTGACCCAAGATTTTCACAACTCTGAGGGTTCACCCGGGATACCCGTCGGGTCGTTAAATAACCCGGGAATTCCGAAAAGGACCCGTTTTCACTCGGATTCTTAAGCCTTCAGACTGATTTCATAAGGGATTTCCCTTTGAAATACCGGCATATTCGTAATTCTTCTCGGACAAGAAGTTCAAATAGCTGTGTAAACTCAAATTAAGTGATCCATTTTAGTGCATGGCTTCTCTTGATAGCTTTGGTGTCAAACACACTGTTAATTAACACCAATTACCTTAGCTTTAGGTCGTAAATAATTTGTGTATTTCAAAGTTGTTTCACAAAAAATTTGAGTTACTTCCCCTTTTTTGTCACCTTTCAAAATATAACTCCTTAAATTTATGTTTATTTTTGTAAAAAAAATTAAATTTAAAACAAATTGAATGCAAATACGTATTACGATATTTCTTTTCATTATTTTTCTACCTTAGTACAATTAGAAAATAAATAGTTGAAAATTATTTTTCTCATCTCTACTTCCATTAAATGTTTAACTTTTTTATTATACTCTAACATCAACTGTGAAGATTGTATAAAACTGTACAGATAGATGCACACTGAGTGTCTTTGTGACTGGTGAACCGATTATAATACAAGAAAGTGGGGTTATGGCTTGGCTTGAATTGAAAAAGTATTTTATGAAACAACAATATATCAAAATCAAAAGTACATTGCAACAATAATAGTTTTAACTTATTTTCAGTTAATACTTAACCATTGGAACATGTTTTGGATACTGTTTGTTTTAAAATATAAAAAAAAAATGTCCCCTAAATACTTAAATTCAGCTTGAAAAAAGTTTGTTCGCGTTATGACCTGAGATTTTATTCTTCAATGCAGGTCATGACCTGCATTTTCATTTTCATCGGTTGACAGGTATGGAAATGAGATGTGCCAATGCTAATACAACTGCAAACCAAATACCATTGACTTTTCATAAGTCATTCCCTTTAAACAAACCTAAACACAAACATTAACTTGTACATGTTAACTATGTAAAAGTTTCAAAGTCAATGAACCATAATTAGGGGTCAGGGTTATATAATCCCCATGGAAATGAAACTTGCAAATGCCAATACATTTGTATACCAAATATCATTGACTTAACATTAGTGGTTCATCTTAAACTGAACTAATCACAAACTAATATATGTAAACTAAGCAAAAGTTTCAAAGTCAATAGACCATGAGGGGTAGGGACCAAATATTCTCCATGGAAATGAGATGTGCTAATGCGTATACAACTGCATACCAATTATCATTGACCTACCACTAATGGTTCCCCTTAAACTGACCTAATCACAAACTAATACATGAAAACTAAGCAAAAGTTTCAAAGTCAATAGACCATGAATGAGGGGGCGGGGCCAAATAATCTCCATGGAAATGAGATATGCCAATGCTTATACAACTGCATACCAAATATCATTGACCTACCACTGTGGTTCCCCATAAACTGACCTAATCACAAACTAATACATGTAAACTAAGCAAAGTTTCAAAGTCAATAGACCTTGACTGAGGGGGCTGGGCCAAATAATCTCCATGGTAATGAGATGTGCCAATGCTAATACAACTGCATACCAAATATCATTGACCTGTTGACCTACCACTAGTGATTCACCATGAACTAGACCTAATCACAAACTAATACATCGTTGACGCCGATGCCGTCGCCGGAAACAGCATACCTATGTCTCGCTTTTTGACTCTGTCAAGGCAAGACAATAAACCCTGCTTTATACTAGACTGACATGCTGTACCATATTTTTAAATTATGTGTTAGTTCACAAGACTACCAGAAAACCATCGAGACAGTCCAACCTAGTTGAGGTATCCTCGTCTCATGGGTTTTCGTACTACTATGAGTATTACTATTAAGAATGCATTGTGACGTCACAATTTCCATTGAAAAAGCATGCATAGTACGAATTCATAAGACGTACGAAAACATATGATCTGACCATACATCTTCCAAACCCATGTAAAAGTAATTACCATATTGAACATTCCAAATTTTTTGTTATTGAACCCAGCAGCTCCTGAACCTGGATCTTTTTCTCCATATTTAGTTATTTTCTGTAGTCTGTACGTTTTCAACTAATTCAAAGTTCTGCTGTGAAAGCTGTGTGTGACTATGTGTACATCACACACTACAATGTTCATGGTTTTTGTTTTCAAATTGTTTACAAAAAACTAAAATTTTATGTAATGTTCGCTTCCCGCTATATTAACATTGTTTTGGAAAACCCGCTTGCATACTATTTGAATCTTCAACAATGAAGATTTACGGTATTTTCATTTTTAGAAACAATTGTTGTGAAACGAACATTTTATTTTTTTAAATTTTTTTTTACATTGGACCTGGCAGCTTTTGAGCCTGGAACTTTTTCTCGATATCTCCTTCTCATATAGTTATATTATTGATTTTGTATTGTAAATTGCATTATACCATAGAAGTAATTTGTTATACAATAATACGCCGACGTCCGATGATTACATGCTGTGGAAGACGTGGACTATTTCCTCTTATTAAGGTAGGTCTGGTGTCTTTCGCCGTTTAGGAATGCAAAATAGCAGAGCACAATCGGTCTACATCTTTGATAAAATTTACAAATTTTAGGGTATGATTGTAATTCATTTGTTAGACTTTTCAAGACTGTTTTTTACATTAATTCTACATATACGTTTCTCATTATAGGGGAAAAGATAAAACTGTTTTTGTCTTTATCGAGTTAATGATCTTTAATGAGCGAAATACTGCGATGATCATCATCAACATTTATTGCAGATTGTTTCCAAAAAATAATCACTCGAAATTTCTTAAACCTGTTGTACATATAACTTTTATTTGTCAGAAAAGGTTTTACTGTCGACCAGAAATCTTTTGATTTTGGACCCCCACAACACCTCTCTATAAAATAATTGTCAACAGATCATACTT